ATTCGCTCTCGCTATAGACAACCGACAAGATGGTATTAACATTTCCCATAAATAGTATCAACATTTTACAGAAGAGAAATATGGCATTTCATCGCGCTGACTATGCACCGAGGATTTGGTAAATTTATTTGGACGCAGCCGACATTCGTCGGATCAAGATTATATATTCTTAGCTTAATTTCAAACGATACAAAGAAAACATTCCACATATTTCAAAATTTATTTAAAATATGAAATCTGAATTTAAACAGAAAATACATAAAAATATCAAATGACTGAAGCAAGGTATATATGTTATCATTTAATATCATTATTCATATGATATTAATATCTCGAATGAGAAATATTTCTTCATTAATTTCAAATTCATATAAAAAGAAAATGTTTGATAATTTTTTTTTCATTAAAAAATGTGACATTTTTAATTAAAGCATTTACTCTTCTCGTGGCGTAATTTGAGAAGCGCTCTATTGTGAAATTATCAAGGGAAAATGAGTCAAATATATCATTAAACGGATGTACTAATGGACGCGAGAAAATATATCATGAAACGGAACCGAAATCACGATATGTGCAACGGCAGTGAATGAGATTATGCAGCTGCTTACCAGCCGGTTTCGATAAAGGTGATAAATGGGGCGATATAGGCGTTAATGTGAAACGTCATAAATGATAATTTCACGGCTTCTGCGATTAATCCCCGAACCTGAAGCTTCGATCATATCGAAGAAAATTGAAAACGATCGAAATTTCGATTCAAAAGTCGAGGCACAAATTGTTGCCGTCATCTTACGAATCGGGGTTATATTTTTTAGAGTTGATATTTTGTTCTCTGTCACTCAAAACCGTCGATGCACCATCAATCGAAGATTAACGGCATCGAACATGACTACACAAAGGAAAAGGGGCCGCGGAAATTCGGTCAAACGTATAGACATTTTCCCCGACCTATTTTTCCAAAGCTATATATATCTTCAACTTTAAAACACGCGAATGTATACCTATACATATATCCGATTTCGATTAACTCGCTATATGAGATGGACGAGTGCTAAAGAGGGACAAAATTTCGCATAACGATAAACATTGCCAGAATGGAAGTTTGGAGTATATTGATGCTCCATCAAATATAAATGTATCGGTTTATGACGTATATACACTTTTTCTAAAAGTACAACAGTTAAAACATGCGCGTGCTTTTTAAAAGCTTTTGACCATTGATGATTATAAAATAAATAATTCAATGTCCATTTCATTCAGGCAATCTATATAATTGACAATAGAAATCTATCGACTGTTGTGCATACTTATTTTATCCTGGTATATATTTCGTATGCATTGTATATATGAATACGTGCTTTTAATATTCATCGAATATATTTTTCTCCTTTGTATTACACGACACATAAAATTAATAATATAGAAAAATAGTAATCAACTCCTTTTCTCTTGACCAAACTGGCAATTATATTTATTTAGAAATCACAACGTTTCTATATACAAAATTTCGTTTTGGTTGAACTTCTCATTATTCAAATTATATATGGTTTCCAAATATTTGTTTGTACAGATCACTTGATAAGGATCAAATATAATGATCGAAACGTTGTGATTTCTAAATAAATATAATTGCCAGTTTGGTCGAGAGAGCAAAGGAGTTGATTATTATTTTTCTTTATAACACTGACAACCCTTAATATCTTCCACATCTATTCTATTTAATAATATAGATTGCTATCCCGAATTCGTCACGAATTCACGTATGTCGTCTAAAGCAGGTCTTAGAGAAAAATACGTAACTATATACCAGCATTGAATCATTTCGCCTCGATAGAAGATACGCTGGTATGAATTATCCTATCTAAATACAAATCCCCGCGGAAGGTAAACAATTGTATTCGCCGCGGGAGAGAAGAGCGCCTTCGCAGGACAGCGATTATGTTCGCTGGCGAGCGAGGATTAGGTACAGATTTATCCAACCCTCGTTTTGTAATCCCTCGCGCGCGGACGCACTGAGTAATAAAGCGATAAAGGCTCTCACGGTTGCGCATCTCTTGTATATTTACGACGCCGTATCGCGCGCTTCACCGTTGAATAGAGAAAGCTCCGCTACGTCGAGATTATCTGCTTCCGTCCCGTAGACGGGACATTCGCGATTCCATATATATATATATATATATATATCCATCGTTCTATTAGATACTACCCCCATGAGAAAAGATATATATATATATATACGAAAAAACGCAATTTCGATGATTAAAATGCAGCGTTATTTTATTATATTCTCGTTTCTATTGATTTTGTTGAAAAATAATAATTAAATTATAATCAGGGTTAGGCGGATACTTCGATACAAAATATATTAGTATATATAATTATATTTATATAAATAGAAATATATTTCAATACTAATTGTATTTAAATGCATTTATAAATACTTTTAAATACAATTATTTTTTAAATTTTCTGATTATATACTATATACTTAATATTAAAATAATTACAAAAAAATTATCTACTATTATTTAAAAAACTTAATTTTTTTAAATAATAGTAGATAATGAAATTTTTTAAATAATAGTAGTAATAGATGATTTTATTATAATTACTTTAATATTATATAAGTATAATTTAGTCTGACGGTAGAATTATATGAAAATAATATCAAAAGTAAGTTCATTTCAACTCTTTGAAAGATAAGTTTATTTATTTGAACTTTAAACTTTATAAAATAATAATAATTAAAATAAACCTAGTACATTTAAATTAAATATTTAATTACAACATTCAAAATACTTGATTATTCGGTATTTAAATACTATATTTAAATAACATACATATTTAAATACATATCTCAGATACTTTAAGATACATATCTGCCCAACCCTGATTATAATTATTATTATAATTTGTTAATATAAATTATACGTAATTATAATTCAAATTATGGAGAATTGCAAATATTAATTAATTTTAATGTTTGAGGGAAGGTTTTCTGACAGATCTTATCACCATCAATTCGACCGATACTTTGTCAGAGAGATTTGAAATCTCGGTCTCTGTGACGGCGTTGCTTTCTTCCTCGGAAGTTCGGTGCAAAATACATCCAATTTTACACTGACCGTTTGCTATGCGCAAAGAAACTACAACGCAACTTTCATCCAATTTCAGAAGATCTGACTTCTCTCGCGATGTAATCCGACGGTATAATCGTGCTAATCCTCGACCTGCAATTTCATTCGTCGGGTTTTCAGGTGCGGACGTAATACTCGAGAAAAATCGTTTCGTTTTCCAAACGAGATTACGCTATTATTATTAATAGAAAGAGAGAAAGAGAGTTGAATCGAGATAGATGCTGGATGTATAAAGACGAGTAGAATGCCCTTTCCGAAATGCACTAATTTTATCGAAGCTATAATCCGCGTAAAATGATCATCGATATGTGCACACTTTTTTTAAGAAATCAAACACGCTTCGAAATAAAATCCCTACATTTATATTCTACATCGTTCTTTTTTTATTCGAGAAAATATAGAAAAGTATTAAAATCACTTGCCTACGATTTTATTACAAGAGCCGAAAAATTGATTCTCTCGCGCGACGAAGTACTTGTTTAAAAATTTAAAACTTCTCCGCCGACACGTTTTTTTAATCTTATATATTTATTCGCTCAGATATAGCGAGTCTCTCTTGTCAGGTGGAATCACAATTCGCTGTCGGCTGCGTAATTCAACCTCGTTTCTCATCGTTTCATTTACAATGTCTCGGGTTCTCACTTATGCGGGACAGTTGCAAATTTAATTAACCACGATCTCTAGCGTCCAGTCGCGCGTTGATTTCATCCGAGCATGGACATTCGGACAGAATAATAATCGTTCGTTATCGAGAAAGTTTAGAGATTTCGATAAATGTCGCGAAGCATGACAAAGTTTCTGTTACCCGAATTCTCTTCCTTAACGAGCCGTCGCCATTTTTCTCGTTAAAATGTCACATGACAAGGAACCGCTGTAATGATCGTAATACCGAAACTTCGTTTAATTTGAAATTATCCAGTGAATCAGACGTTCGACAAAATTGTTTTTGTCGCGAATAAAGATATATTTTCCTCTGAATTGTTAATTAATTTAATTAACATAAATTTTCATTATTACATAGTAAGTATGTAATGAAGAAAGAGATCTCCTCCCGGAATTAAGAAAAAATTCAATTTATTCACGAAGCATGTAAAGTTCTTATATTTTTCGCGATAATTAATGACCCTTCAGAGAGTCATTATTGATCTCGCGCACATAATCACATAAAAAAAAAACACACACACACACACACACACATATAAAAGAAAGAACTTAGCTACAGTTTTAAATAACGAGTAATTAAATGTGCCTTGTTGAATAAACATACGTGAATGATTGAAGCGCGATTATTTCCGGCAAACGAAATACGGTCAATACGTAGAATCGCGCTAATTACTTGTCGATATTAAATTGAGCAATCCCGATAATTTCTGCGAAATAGTGATCGATCTTGTTTTTTTACGACTTTAACGAAATTGCTGCTATTTATACACTTGCAGTAATTTTTTTAAATTTTATACCGAGTAATATGTAACAAAAAATTATTTATTTCTGAGAATCTTTGCTCCTCTTTTTATCACCACAAAATATTAATTTCTTCACGCAAATAATTTGAATCCATAAGATATTGAAATTGAATAATTCGATGACACATCTGTTTATGGTGCCCGAATATTACATCGCACATTATTTCCCTCCCTTTCTGAAAGGATGCACATTACGCAGTTTCACATAAGCTTCGTCCCACCCTTATCTGACGAACGCGCAACTGTCACTCGCGACTTTAAACGAATAAAAAAAAAAAAAAAAGAAGAAGCTATAAATTTAGCGTCCTATATTAATCTTCGTCGAGACTGATTTCTTCGACGCGCATTATACTCACTAATCTCGAAACGAGGGTGATATCTGACGTTTAACACTCACCGATGCAGACGACGAGCGCCACGGCGAGAATCGGCGGGAAAGCCCTCGAGGACGAAAGCATGCTGCGGCCGGGGTTGTCTGCGAGAAGGATATACGATGCACCCGCGGGAAGCAGGAAAACAGCGGTCACCCGGCCACTTTGGAACGGTCTTCTCCGCGAGACCTGGCGGGAGATCGGACTGATGGAGCCACCCGGTTAGGGGCGGGACCGGGAGTGATGGCCCGCGAAAAACGAAAAAAAAAGGCACTACGACCCGCTCGGTAACCCTTGATCGCTTCACTCAAGGAGGATCGATCATCGATCCCTCACTGTTGAAAAACAAAAATCTTTTCTCCGGTCTCAAGATCTTTTCTTCTTTGATTTATACTTATGTCCCTCGCGAGAGAACGATATATATTTATCGGCGATCCCCTTCCGTTGACTTTTTTTTTTCCCTCGCTTTCTCTCTCGTTTATGCAGATCCCTCGCGCGATTGTTAGCGGAATACGCCGCGGATGGTACCGGAAGCGAGAGAGGGTGGGAGAAGAAAGGGCGGTTTTACAAGGAGGCGCGTCCTATAGCACTTACGTCTGTTGCGGCGCCAACGTCGGGACTGACTTTCTCTACGTTATACGGCCGTTCTGCAGCAGTGGCGACGCGCGGCGTCGCGCGCCAGGCCGCGTCGTCGCGCGGATACATCCCGTGTCACGTGTGCGCCTGTGGGCGGATGCTCCGGATGCAGCTGGACGTGTCGCGACGACGCTTTGAAATTCGGCGCGCCGAGACGCTCCTCATCGCTAAAGGATCGGAGGTCGGAGTACAAAATGTCGCACGTGCGTGTCATTATATACGCTCTGATAGACAAGTGTGTAATAAAGTATACGTCATGTGCAATTCGGTAAATGTGTTTCAAATTCAATATGTCTTTTATGTATATTTGCGATAACGCGCATCCTCGTGTGTCATTTGAAAATATTTATAGCATACTTGGAACCGTGTAAAAAGAAAATTACACATTAATTTGAATATGTGCAAACACACGAAAAAATCTACGCATTAACTCGAAATAACTCGTGAACTTATTCTAAACGCATTATAAGTTTCTTTGTATAATATATATGAGAATTGTTAACGTAGCGTTAAAAAATTAGATATATTTAAAATATCTTAAGATAAATAGTCTTTTAATAGTTATGAAAACTTTATCAAAATTATTATAAAAATAATTATATAAACTCTGCAAAAAGTGTGTCAAATGCTACTGCAAGAATTACACACATAAAATGTTTAAAAAGTGCACGCTTGTTTTTAGAGTGTAATCACGCTTCTCATACTTTATACGAAAATAAACAAGCGATGTTGTGCTGCCGATTTATCTGCGAGACAGACAACTGTTGGAATTTACTTCTAAAACACTGGATTAATCAATCTCTGCTTCGAGTGTTTTTTTTTTTTTTTATTTTAAATTTCTTCGTAGCCTTCGAAATCTTTAAAGAGGCTGAAGGGTGAAGTGTTTTAATTGAATCGATATTTTTTCAGTGGTCAATATGAATACGTATCTCTTTCGATGTCGAAGAAAACAATTAAAGTTTAATATTCCGCCGATCGACATTCTACCGCGCTTGGAAAGAGGATATAAATTATCATAATATTTGCGTACGAATAAATTATCCGTTTTAATTAAGAAATTCTTCATTACTTTCATCATGGCGATCGTAAAGTTCGTAGTGCAAGCGACAAGTAGCTAAGAAAATTTATTTATTGAAATATTTGTTGAAATCTAACTTCAACTTTTTAATTAAGAAACGTACACATACAAGAATACGTCAAAGAAATTTACACCGAAATTTTGCGTCCGAATAAAATTGCGCAAAAAAATACGGCGCCGTGAATATCACTAACGCGAAATAAAAAGGATGGAGAAAAAAAATGGCGACAACGCGCGCTTCCTTTAGTAAATTATATTTCGCGAAAATGTATACATGCGTTTGTGCAATGTCCGTTGATGAAACGTCGTAAACGCGTTTAGCGCACCCCTTCATCAGGACGCAGTGCAGCGCGTACGTCGGTTTACATATCGAGTTATTGCAGTATGCATTCGCGCCATAGTTATCGGGGAGTGCATACAATGTGTGCGCGTGCATATAATGCAGCAGTAACATTGTGCCATGTGGCATCAATCATAGGATTTCCTGCAGGTGAAAGGCCAGTTTCGGTTCCCTCTCTTAACCCTTCCCCATCTCACTTCTCTCACTGTTGCCATCCCCTTTACTCACTGTTTTTCCAGACCCAACCGTTCTCGTCGAAATTTGACAGCCTTCAGATCTAAAAATGGAGAATGACAAGTATAGCGAAACGGAGAAAAAACAAAGAGAAAGATCGGATTTTCATTCAAATATATATTTTACACAGAGAGAATAGAAAGTCTTTTTTTTTTTTTTGCGGATAAGAAAAAATTGCATACCACGTCTCTCTGGAAGTTTGTGTAAATAAAAAAAGATTTGTGTAAAAAAAAAAAAAAAACACGGCTGAATTAAAGTTTGTAATTCCGTGTGACGAGAGAAATAAAACTTTCTAAACTATGCAACAATCATGCTTGTATATGAATGACAGAACACGGCTCGACTTTTTACTTTGTATACTATATGCTTCGTATACGTATGTAGGTGAAAAAAAAAAAATGCGAGCAAATTTTCGTGTCACCTTTGCACTTGATGCTTCCGTTACCAACATATACGTACACACGAGTTGCATAATATTCCCTCATACAAGAATGTGATATCATGATGTCGTTAACGTCACTTTGGCTGTTTCAGTTTGTAGAGACTAGCAGAGATGTAACTTATCTTTCCGCTTCACTTCGCTGATGCTGCGACACTATAATGAAGGTCAGTTGTCCCTTAATTAGTAATTGATATTAACCATAGATGTAACACGTTGCCGAGACGATTAACACGCGATGTACCGTAAATTTATGGGTAAAATGTAAAATAGAAGGATACAAGGGTCAGAGACGACGTGATCACGTTTTAAAAAAATACAAAGACAGAGAAACGTCTTTGCACTTGAAATATGTTAGTTATAATGTAAAGATGCAGCTATTACAATTTTCTCTTAGAATTTACCCGGAGAATCTTGGTAATCGTGAGACAATATTGGATTTTCATGAATTTTATAAGAGTTTCTCTTATCACAATAAAAAATATTAATGTGTACATACATAGTAAAATTAATCAAACATTTTATATTTTATTGTGATAGATATTAACATTTTTATTGTGGTAAATATTAATCAGAGAAACTCTTATAAAATTCTTCCAATTGTTCCACGATTACCATAATTTTCAGGCTAAATTCTAAGAGAAAATTCTCTCTGTGTAGTTTTTTATATACAGAACTGCCATGGTGAAAATATACTGAAAACATAGAAATGGAGAGAAATATTAAAAAAATTTTGTTTCCTTCCATCTTCCTTCCATTTCTTTTCAAAAGTTTTGACACAAACAAGTGTGTCACGTATGTTAGGTGTCACAGGGAACGAAGATGTGCGTTTATCTTTAAAATGCAGAGCGCGAAATAAATGCGTCAAATCTGCTTTGTAATAATATCACGTGTTTTTACGCAAAGTAATTATATAGGGACGACTGTGAATAAAAGAAGGTAATATATATGCATATGTAGAGAAACATGGAGATTAAATCCTTTACGTCTGTATAACATATGAGCGTACACGTTGCGTGATGGAAATTAAATGTCGCGGATGGTACGTGTACGATCAAAATTAAAGTAAACCACTTGCCACGGCTTACCTGGAAGCTTTGCGGCACTTTATGGAATTTCCGCGACAAATGTTTAGATTATTTTATTATATAGTGAGAATTATTATACATCATTTATTATTATTTATTAACTGATTATTTTATAAATAATATATTTTATAAATAATAATATAATTTGAGGTAATTGTGTGACCAACATATGTAAAAAGAAAACAATTACAAAAAGATTTTTACATTTTTTTAAAAGAATAAAATTTGCTTTACTTAGTAATATAATTTTATCCAAATATATCAGGCTTTAAAAACAATGATTTTTATTTATTAACGAAAGCACAATATAATTTATTGTCGATGATTTAATAATAAATTATACTATTCAATATTTATTGTATTGTAAATTATTTATTATATGTATAAATAAAATATGAAGAAAATAAATATGCCAATAAAATATTTATTGTAGTATTCTACATTGAAAAAAATTCACAAATAAAAATTGTAGCATAAAAATAAGAAAAATCAAAGTACGCGATTAGGTATATAAATATTTCTAGCGACACGTATATATCTTTCTTCAAAGAGACGAAGAAGAGAACTCGCGTTATTATTTCATTAATAATCTTGTTATCGTCGCGCGTCTTTATTATTTAAAGATGTGTAGCGTAGAGTCGAAAAAAAGAAATAAAAAATAAATTAGATCTCGCATTTGCGCGCGTCTGTTGAATCATTCACACTTGGATCGAAGACTCGAATAGCTGATGGCAGCACGTTCTTGGTGACCATCAGTAATATTGTCAGCAGCAATTTTCACAGCCAACCGACTCCATCTGTCGGCTTCAGCTACGCTACCGACAGAGGCGGCAAAGATCAATGACCGCAAAAGATGAAAGGCGGTAAGATGACGTTCACAACGATTCTCTGTACGAGACGACACCTACATCCACGCCTTTCACACTCTTGCAATATTGTTAATAATTGCCATTTATCGAAGAAAATTGAAAGATTTTAATAGAGATCTATGATTTTTTATCTTCTCTATAAAAGGAAAATAATTTTTCTCAGAATTCTGAAATCTCGATTTAGTATAGACTCATCACTAAGACATGATTCATGCAATTAACTCGCAAAAAAACTAAAAATTACTCCAAAAAATTGAATTTCCAGTTGAATACCCAATGAAGGAGCACATTCTGTCAATATTTGTTGCTTCCCTTATTTTTCATCATCACACACGTATCAGCTAGTCCAGGTATCGATAGTTGAACGTATCGACATATCGTTGCTCGGAGCTTCGCTCCAACGATGTATCGCTGCGCGCGTTCGACACCGAGATATTTACGTACGCATCTCTCGATGCGAGTTCCCGCTTCGAGGATTCATCCCTAGAGCAACGCGCAGCAGTAGCGGTCGACGTGAATGGGCGGCCAGAGTGCAAGATGGCGGATTGCGAGTCGGAGGTGCACCGCTTGGCAGCGACGAACCAGGACGGCAGTGCGAGGAACAACGCGACGACCGTGACAATGGTGAACAACAACGCCGCCCGGGTGCCGCAGCATCCGCCGGCCACTGCCGGCCAGGACCGCCAGGACCCGGTCGGCCAGGGTCCGCGGTGCGTAACCATCTACAAGACCGAGACGGGCTTCGGGTTCAACGTACGCGGCCAGGTCAGCGAGGGTGGACAGCTGCGGAGCATCAACGGCGAGCTCTACGCGCCTCTGCAGCACGTCAGCGCGGTGCTGCCGAGAGGCGCCGCCGAGAAGGCCGGCGTCCGCAAGGGCGACCGTATCCTGGAAGTGTGAGTAGACATGGGAAGACCCTCTCGTCCTTTTATGCCCTACCCTTATTCTTGCCCTGTTCTCTCGTTTATTCCCTTATTCTCAGATAGACCCGTCCTCGGGAGGCGTCTTTACTCGGGACCTCGTCGCTTCCTCCTCGATTTATGCGAATCCACTCTGGCTCTGATGCAATCGCATTCGGGCTGTGCGCCAAAAATTGCGTCGGTTAATTCGTATTACTTGGATGGCGAACACGCGCGAGACTCGGCCTTGGTGGATGGTATTTATTTCGCACCACGAGTATAAGAACGACGGGCAACGACAGGCGCGAGTAGAAAGAATTTTTTTTCTATGGGGAATTCTAGGGGACTATATAATTCTGTGACGAATGAAGGATCTCTGTAGAATGGAAAGAAGAAGCATGGAGAACGTAAAACAAGATTTAAATCCCGTGCTTCATGTAACAAATAATTATAAATCATTGGAAATTCGACTGTTATTATTGTATCGTTGATAATCAACGTGTTGTGACGTGTTTCTCGTTTCCGTGCAAGTCATCATTCTTGAGGAATCATTCAACGCGCACGCGTTTATTTCGACGAAAAATGTTTCCACCGACTTTAAATATAATTTTTATACTCTCAAGTTATTTAGATGAAATTTCCATTTGAGAAGAAGCTGACTCTACACTTATTTGCAAGCAACCATTTTTTCATGTTAATGTCATATGTAATACATTTTTCCGCCAAAATCTCGCGATAAACACGTACAGATGCGTCCGAGACTCGCGCGTTGCCTCCGTCAAGAATGTCTAAATGTCATCGACTTGCAAACTACGACGATAATAAATGGATCTGGACTTTGTTTTTTTCTCTCGACCAATCGGAATAATGCGGCTCTCACTTATGCCATTTGCATATATACATATATATGTATATATATACACGCAAAGTCCGCGTTTATTTATATCACTATAGAAATAGGTAAATCGCGCTCTTAGCTACATATATGTATATTCATGCGGAGAATTACCTGCTCGTAAACCTCGCTTCGCAACCGCAGACTCTGCTCTTGATGATTATGATTCTTCAGAATTATACCTCTGGTCGTAGTAATCTTTCGATGCGTTGTAATAGCCAGGGTCCTGTAGGATCGGCATCGATATCGATCCTCGACTATAATTTATTCCTCTTATTATGTCTTCCTTGAAAGAAGGATTTTCTTACTGTATATTATACTGATTAACTGATATTGATTTTCAATCAGCTGATATCTTTACTATGTTGCACACTTGTCGGAAAAAGGGCGGAAGTGATATTTAAATCTGACAATAATTCTTGACACAGAAGATGAGATGGTTTGTTCACTCCGCCCAAAATTCTGATGTAAAAATGATAAAGTTTACACGATGACAAATATGCGTTCATCTGACATTTGAACTTCAAATTTCTCGCTATCAATTTTGCTCTCGTCGAGCGAAAAGATGTACAAAGTAATATATATCCGAGTCATTCATCATCATTTAAAAACAATGATCTTAATCCGATCCGACAAATATAATGAATAAATAACGCTATTTATGCTTCACAGATATTTCTCGTTCGAAACGACCGTTGGTATATTCAATTATGATAAACGCCACGATTCTGTCAATGAACATCCTTATCTTGGCGAATTAACTGTTGTATTAGTTAGCCAACTATCTAACTGACAAGTCGTGCGAATATTCGCAATTTTCGTCTGTGCGATCGTTAGTGTTCTCGGATTTGCATACCTGATCATTAGCCACCCGGCACCATACCTTGTGCACAGTAATTGTGTTCTCCAAACTGTTTAATTAAAAGCTAATTTGCTTAAAACATTGTCGCTTTGTCCCGGTCAAATTCACTGCATAGAGAGTATTTAACGATATACGTATATATATACATATATATATGAATTATTCCCGGCAAATATTCGAGTCTCACGATGTTTCACACCATAAAGATCGTAAAATTGAAAATAATATATATATATATATATATATATATATATATATATATTTATTTATTTTTTACGCGACGTTTATTTTAGGAGTAACGCCAATCGAATTTTGACATCAACGTCAGATTAAATAATCGAGGTATGAATCATTTTATATAACGAGAGATTGACTTACGGTTGAAGAAGATTGACCGATTAGAAAAGCAAGTAAACCGATAGCACGAAATCTGCGATGGTGTTGATGCAATCGATGTATCGCAAGCAAATCTCTCCGACTCGCGATAGTCGCGACGATAAACGAGCGGCTCCGCATTTATTTGCGACGACGTATCCGGAGAGATTGCGAGAACGAGAGTTGTCTGTATGCAACTGCATGTGCGAGTCGCAGGGTCCAAGGTTACCATAAACTTCGTCGCAGTTCAAGGACCGTCTTACGGTTCGTGGCCCGTCTCTCGATTTCAATACGTTTTGTCTATACAGCGAGAGAGCGGAACTTTCCTGTGACCTTCCCTTCGTCAAGGATTTCCGAGGCGACATCCTGAAATAGCTGGACGTCAATTCCATGAAATACTTTGTTATTCCCCATTTAGTAGTTGGTCGATATTTTTTTCCTCGGGAGTATCTTTTTCTTCTTTCCCATTAATCATCGCGAGAGATTGTGATCGAGACGTTTGCTCTGCCTTTCACTTTTTGTGGTTCCTGCAGCGACTCTTCGCCATCACTCGCTGCCGTTTATTATTCTTTATCAGTGTTGTGCTTAGATGATTGTAAAACTAGCTTAGATAAAGATGGGATGAAAAGTATGTAAATTTATCTTTGATAAGATAAAGATGTTTTTGTTTTTAATGTATATAGATAAAAGATGAAATTATATGGTGATTCATCTAGATAACTTCCAGATAATATTATTTTAAGACCGTTTATGTAAACACAGTTATAACAAAAATGTAAATTATAAAAAGGATATCAAAATATATTCATATTTTCATTTAAAGTTTTTATCGTTTACTGCTTAAGTTCTACTAATTAAGTATTTTTATGTGCTATGATTCTAAACCAAATTATCCGAACATTATTCTAGATAATTTCGTGAAGATACTTTTTCTCATCTAACAATAAGATGCAGATATAGAGACGATATATATTTTTATTAGTTTATCAGTGCTCTTTATGTCATTTGTTCGAATCTAAACAATTCTTCAAGTTCCTCCGCTGACTATCGCTTCGAGATATATCGTTAATATTCTTTTTATCTCTGCGTTTCGTTAACTTTCTTAATTATATCGCTTGCGGGAGAAGATGACATTCACGAATTATGCGCTTTTAATCCGTATGACTTCTTTTCTTATGCGATACTCGTATTAATGTTCTTGAAAGGCTTATTTCTTTTGTACGGTTTCTACAATTCTTTCTACAGTCCACAAAGCTACTGTATGCATGTATTACACAGATTATTCGGTGGCGTTTCTCCTTCTCTTTTCGAACAAGTTATTTTTAGCGATAAAAAAATGGCCGTAATCTCATTCGGAAATTATAAATTAAACTAGATAAAGCGTAGTTGGGGCTAAGATCTGCGGAGGCGAAGGTTTAACGAGCAACGACGAGTATGAATATTACTTAAAAGGAGCCGCTCATTGCACGCGTCCGATAAAACGAGCAGTTATTCACTCATGTCAGAGATGCATCGATCATTAAGTGTATCCATTAACGTAGGTGCGAATCGTTACAGGTTTTACAACGCTTTGTTACCTCGGTTAGACGGTAATTAACGGGCTCGTGAATAAGGAGACTTTCGGACGGCAATTACATTGTGTTTACATGTAATTTACACGAAGGGAGGAAACGCGCTCCCTATTGTTTCTCTATCTTTGTCGCGTAGGCGCATTGGAATAATTATAATATTACAGTGAATTTCGCGCCCACGAGAAGCGCATAATCTTTTCTTCTTAAAAGATTACAGCGTGCACGCGGTGCCGTTTATTGACCGATTTGTTCACTCACTCACTCACTCTTTCTCTCTCTCTCTTCACCCCTTATCTGCCAATCTAATTTCATTAGATGACGAAATACTTGTGTAAGCTGTATCGGTGCAGATAACGTCGTTGACGTAGCAACGTCACGGAAACGAAAGTTTGCATTTTAACTAGCGCGACGCGTTTGTCAATACTTTGACGTAACTGATTTCAGCGCCGAGCGTTAAAATTTATGCTCCTTTTCGCGGTACAATCTAATTGAACTCTGACCTCATTGCGTGCTCCGACAATAATTAAGAAAGTTAATTAAGAAATATAATTAATATATATATATATATATATAATTACAAACGCGCTTTAGGATTTAATTGCAAATGATGTAACCGTATATAAGAGATAAGACAACGAGCGATCGGCCCTGAATTGGCGACTTTTAGAGAAGATAAATAACATGTCGTACGATTCGGGTCCACCCGGTACACGCGATAGCGAAATGTATAAAGCCCGACGCGTCTCTTCTCACACGCAGACGTGAAAATCCGTGGTCGTCGACGACACATTCGCCGATCTCTGCCGCTGGGAGAGTCGTGCCTCCGCGTTCGGAGCCAATCGCGGCCGTCCTTTCACTGTCGGAATTCGAAACTCGTGCTGCGATAAAAAAAAAAAAAGAAAAAAGAGAGAAGAAAAAGGTCGTTTATATATACCGGTATTCTATTCCCTTTCGACTGCTTGAATAAACGATCGGGGCCGCCGGTGCGCTCTCGCGACCAGCCTCGTCGAAGGCCTCTCTCTCTCTATTTCTCTTCGGATCGGGAACCGGATGCGCCGAGCGAAAGTCCTCATCCAGATTTTCTCCCTTCTCGCGCGATCGATCGTCCGTCGAAATACGACATCGGATCGAGGCAGCGGTAACAGTTGGCCTGTTTAGACGAGAGATTCATTCGCGTGCCGATAAGATCCCCGGGCACGAAATATGTTGACGTGTTACATGACTGCGCTGCAATGCGAGTGGATCGAGAATCGCGGACGATGGAATACGACCGGCGTGCTGCAGTCGCAATTAAAGTCAGTTTTAATTATATTATAGAACGACGATAGCAAAATGTGTGCGTGACGGGAGTAGAAAATATTTAAAAAAAAATTGTGTCGTTTCTGCTTGCAGGAATAATGTCAACGTCGAGGGGGCCACTCACAAGCAGGTGGTGGATCTGATCAAATCCGGCGGCGATGTTCTCACCTTGACCGTCATCTCCGTGACGCCCCAGGAAGCGGAGAGACTGGAGCCCTGCGAGGATTTGAGGTGATTGCGAGATCAAATATTTTTAAAATATTATTGTATTTACGCGCGTCATAGTTTACAGAACGAGGCCGTGTTAAATTATCGCTTGTATTTTTCGATGAACCGTAATTGAGGGACTTATCTCATTGATAAGATTCTCAGAGTGTTACAATAAGCTTGACGATTCTAATTAATTCCCGATACTTGTATTTATCTAAAATGTATTTGATTAAGATGTTTTCTTCAAGATATATTTTATTATAAAATATTAAATTAAGATGTATATTTAATAAATATATAAATTTGTAAAAAAGGTAAAATTCTTCTCTCGACCGTACTGGCAAATATTATTTATTCAATCACACTATATATTATATAAATTTTTTATATATTATATATTATATAAATCTGTATTAATGAAAGAAAAAATATTTTTTAAAATATAAAATATATATAATAAAAAAATTAATATTAATCTACCTTCTGCAGCTATGCGTCGGTGGATTACAGCGAGAAGCGATCCCTGCCGATCAGCGTGCCCGATTATCACGTGCGTGAGAGAAAACATGAGCGTTACGTAGTCTTCAACGTCCATATGGCCGGCAGGCATTTGTGCTCGCGCCGATATCGGGAATTTGCAGCGTTGCACATGGCTCTGAAGAAGGAGTTCATAGGCTTCAATTTCCCGAAGCTGCCGGGAAAATGGCCATTCCAGTAATGTCCTTGAATTATATAACGCAATTATATCACGCGCGAACACGTGCAAATGCAATTTAGACATTGATAATGAACGAATCCTATTTATCTTGCGTCGACACATTTGTATATGCGATACGTATAAATTTCCATGTTTTTCACAACCCGCGAGAAATTCATTCATTCGTTCACCAAGATCAGGGTTTGTTCACATTTTGCAGGTTGAGCGAGCAACAACTCGACGCGAGGAGACGCGGTCTCGAACAGTATTTGGAGAAAGTCTGCGCGGTGCGAGTGATAGCGGAAAGTGACGCGATGCAGGAGTTCCTGACCGATCGATTGGAAGAGGACGGGGATCAAGGACCGGCGGTTGATCTCAAGGTTTTGCTCCCGGATCGCGAAGTCGTCACCGTGACCGTCCCGAAAGCGGCGTCGGTGAAGGATGTCTACGATGCAGTTTGCTCTCGGGTCGGTTTAGACGCGGAGACGGCCAAGTACTTTTACCTGTTCGAGATCGTCGAATACAATTTTGGTACGTTGAGGATCGCGGAAGAAAAGAATTAGCTACCATAGCTCAATTTTAACTAATCAAATATCTTAAAATTAATCTCCGTAATGCAAGTAATTAAAATTTAAATAAAAAATTAAACAAGGCCAACTAACAGGAGACAAAACACGGGATGTTATACATAAGCACAGTTAAAATTTATTCAAAACATACTAGTAAACATTTCGACCTCTCTCACTGGGTCTTCTTCAATACATTATAAACTCGATAAAAAAATTACTAAAATACTCATAAGATACATAAAAAATTCGCTAAAAGCTGTGTCTCATCAATTTCCCCTAATTCAAATTAATAAAAATAGTCCTTTACGTCATCGTAACTCCTACTAGCCGAACAAATCATAAATTTAAATTAAAAACAATTAACATTATGGTAACTAATATTTTTTAGCCATAGTTTAACGGAGAATGTTAAAGCTAAAAAATATTAGCTAAATTTCATGTGTAATATATGGACAGTTAAAATTTAACTGTGATAACTAATTCTTCTTTTCCATGGTGACGATTGCTCGAGAGAGATAAGCGGTCATTTTCAAACACTTCAAATGAAATAAAATCGAAAGAGTCTTATTACTGATTTTTTTATCTGCTTCAGAGCGGAAGCTGCAACCTCACGAACACCCGCATACTTTATACATTCAGAATTACTCAACCGCGAGCGCGACATGTCTAGCGATAAGGAGGTGGCTCTTCAATGTAAATAGGTCTCTGAGCGAACAAGCGTTGACTTGGATTTTCTGGCAGACGATCGACGAGGTGAACAGAGGTCACATCACCGCGGGCGAACGATTGTATCAGTTAAAGGCTCTGCAAGACGCGTCCAGAAAGCACGAGGTACGTTCAATGGCAAAAGAGAAATCATTTATGCAAGACGTCTTGTCAGGTTCTTCTTCTGATTAAATTGGAATCCTCTTTTTATTCGCGAAGCTATCCTGATGCCAAAGATTTCGGACTAATTAGCAGTTTATCTTCTGATAACTAAATTTTAGGACAAAATCCAGTCTTCAATTTTTTAATGCTTCAATTACTGATTGGATTCTTTATTGTCGCCAGTGAAAAAATTAAAGGAATAAATATTTCTCGACCAATACTGGTAATTCTTTATTTAATAAATCTCACAACATTTCGACCATAATTTTGGTCCTTTTCAAGTGTACTGATAGAATATTAAAAAAGAGAGAAAAAAAGAAGATTACCGTCTTTCTTGATCGAGAAATATTTATTCCTTTAATTCTTCAATTAATTCGAAGACTTTTATATATTTTCACAGAACTTTTTAATTCAAACTTTAGTGGATGTATAATGACAAGAAGGGAAGATGTGTCGCTGAAGCGGCCGACTTTCTGTATATTTTCGAGTGCATTTTCATCGAGTGCATTTACACAAGATTATATGTCCGCAGTACCTAAAACTGGCCAGGGAACTAAACGGTTACGGCGACATCGTGTTCCCGCATTGCGCGTGCGACTCGAGGAAGGAAGGTCACGTGATACCTGCGGTAGGAACGGCCTCCTTCAAGCTGCACGCTGCGAAGGAGGACGGTACTCTGGAGTCGCAGGTGGTAGAATTTCAATGGAGCACCATAGCCCGATGGGAGGTGGACGAGGACGGAATGGCGTTCTGCTTCCAGTACACGCGCCAGGACAATCGTCCGCCGCGCTGGCTGAAGGTCTTCACACCTTACGTGAGTTTACGAATGTTTCTTTCTTTGTTAGACGTACGTATACAGGGTGTCTAACATAAAGTGTCACAAAATAATATTTTTGAGGCATCAATCATTTTCGAGTTATAAGCGATTTAAAATAAAGGATTTTTCGCAAACTAAACTTTGTGGCAATAAAATGTGAACAAATTTATCTTCTCACAAATTAAATTTTAGAACAAAATCCAGTCTTCAATATTTGCTTTAATTACTGAATGGATTCTTTATTGTCTCTAGTGAAAAAATTAAAGGAATAAATATTTCTCGACCAATACTGGTAATTCTTTATTTAATAAATCTCACAACGTTTCGACCATAATTTTGGTTCTTTTTAAGTGTACTGTTAGAATATTAAGAAAGAGAGAAAAAAGAAGATTACCGTCTTTTTTGATCGAGAAATATTTATTCCTTTAATTCTTCAATTAATTTGGAGACTTTGTATTACCCCATTTTCCAATTAATTTCAAGTAGAGTTTACTTTAATAAAATTTTAATTTAAGGTTTAGTTATAAAGACACATAATAGCCTCCCTCGACATTTTTGAGGAAAAATTGTCTCCAAATAACAAGATCTACTTGTATATATTTTCGGCGTGACGCCTTATGTCAAACGCCCTGTATATTCCGATATGCGAAATATTCATGCGCGTTCATCGCATTATCCATATTTCTCTGGTCTCATGTACTTGCAGTATACGTTCCTCTCGGATTGCTTCGATCGAATAGCCGAGGAAGCGAAATGGGATGACCCAGGGGAATGACGTAATGCTCGACGATAAGAAGCATCTGATTGCTGAACGGTGTTTTTCCAGCATTCGTATCTCTTCGAAATAGTTGGACATTTTTTACGTAGGGAATTAATCTTATAGACCGATCACTCGAGTGCGACTGTACTTTTAGCATATCAGATTTTTCCATCTGCTGTTGTTAGTCTCACTGTTACGTTCAGAACATTACTACCACTACGATGCTGCACCGGAAAAGAGAGAAAAAGAGAAAGAGAGAGAGAGCGTTTGGTTTACATCGGAAAAATGCGTGTAAATGTAAATATCCATCCTGGTGACACCGATACCTCTGTACACCGGAATTACGAACATTCGATATATACTGAGACATTCGCAAATAGGAATTAGATCTGTTTGAGAACAGAATGTGATGAATAAGTTTACGCCATGCTCCTCCGTGTACCTTCGGGGTCTAACTTTCTCTCGACACACGTGGGAGAATAATAAAATAATAAAATCTGATTTTTACAAATAACAGTTCGCGAACTTTTTCGTTTCGTCGAAATGAGATTCGCGTGCTGTCTCTCCTTTCGTCCTTTACGAAGGGCGAAATTGCGCGCGTGCGAGGACACGCAAGAGGATAAAAGATACGTCAGTTGTACATACAGTTATACGTAGACTATTATAATATCACGGGGAGATACGGTCACCCGCCTAGAAAGAAAAAATTACCTATCCTTTTGGCCTATAATTTGTTACACATATAGTGCGCAATTCTCGTTTACAGGTGAGAGAGAGTCGATCGAATTATACATACGCAAAACGTTCCTCGCCTAATAGAAACCTGAAACTTTCCTTCCGTTTTGGAGATCTGCGTGTCGATCGAGCGTTTAACAAGAGAGAATTTCATATATAATATCACGATATATACCTCGTGCATTTTCTAATGTGCAATATTTTTTCATTTCCTGCGTATGTCATTTTCGTTAATTCGTTATAATTTTAATATTAATCGCACTGAAAAATAAATTTATTGAATTCGAATAAGTATTTATTTCAATACTGCCAAAGAAATCATTTATTTGAAACCAATAATATTGATTTGATATGAAAAATATTTATTTGATATAAGAAAATCCTTTTCAAAACAAGTAAATACTTATTTATTTCAAATAAATGATTCATTTGGCAGTATTGAAATAAATATTTATTAATTTAGTCGTTTTTTTAGTGCATCTCAATATAGTCCAATTTATTTCTGCTACATATTTGGTGCGATTTCAAGATTGAGAAAAGAATGAATTTGGAAAGTGTTTTTAAAAGAAGAAATAGATACATATCATTACAGAATTTTCTCTTAAGTTACGCTGCGTAACAAGGATTTTCTTAATGCACGCACCGGTTTCGCGCAATCTATGTGTAACGAATCGATCAGCCCTTTACACATTTTATTAATTCATTAATTAATAAGTATAGGATATTAGGATTAATGAAAAGTAGAGAAGAGACATTGTAAATATCAATGTTAAAAAAATATATACTTTTTGAAGAAGAGAAACTCGGCTGTTTCAATAAGATTAATGAACGTATTACGTATTGGCAAAGATATTAATTCATAACTGATGAGTCTCTCATTCCGCAAAAAAAGCGACGACTCAATTATTACATAAAACTGCGTGCGTGCAAATTACGTGGGTGCGAAGTGCTGTAATAAGAGCCGCGAGAACTGATGTTTTTTTTTCTCTCTCTCGATCAGCATTCTCGGTTGAAATTTTATCGGGCTACTCCCTTTCTCTTCCTTCCTGTCATCAAATTTACATAGATAATGTACGATAGAAAATGCTCGTCATCCAACGATATATCACGATGTGTATATATGCGGGATATCTATGGTAGAAAATAAGGAGAGAAGATCGTATAAAAAGGTTCGGGACAGCAATGTGTAACGCAAGGTCGCGTGGCACGACGTTTTCCTCTATTATTTTTGTTTCGAAGGAAGGAAAAAATAATACTCACTAATAATATTAAGAGAGATACACTGATAATAAAAACAGGAAGAAAACGTAATCAGAATAATGTTTAGCGCTGCGTGCGATGATTGATTTTTTGCAGGGTCACGTGTCGTGATTCATTCGATTCGCGCAGATTCACCGTAGAAAGCGAACATTTTGTTGGAACGTGTGAATACGTTTGCAGACAATCACGTTCACGCTGCGACGTTTGATTTTCTCATACTAAGTTTTGTTCCTACATACTCCGGCTTCTCGCAGCGCTTAAAGATCCACTTGTTCGCTTACTTGAGTGCAAGCAGTCTCCGCAAATGATATATGAATAGAAAGATATGTAGATATATTATTATATCGTTAACGTTTTTAAACTTTATTCATGGCGAGCGTATGAATGGGAAATCCATATGTCAGTGTAAAAGATTCGAATAACGAGAGAATGTATAATGAAGAAAATTATATATATATTATATATATATATGCGCTCGCGCGAGGGCAGCATAGTTATGATACTGTTAATGGTATAATAGGAATATGGAGCATAATATAGAACATAATTATAATTGAACACGCGAGTGTCCCAGTGAATGCAAGATCGATAGGTACGATGTGATATGTTCGCGTGTACACGAGGGATCTCTCAATCGAGCGAGCAAGACAATTACAATAATGGTTTCCATTGTTTCGTGGAGAGAGAGAGAGAGAGAGAGAGAGAGAGAGAGAGAGAATAGAATAGAAGAAGATTCTGTCTGTTGAGGACCTGCGCGAGTTGTTAATTAGCAATACGTGCGTGCGAAATATTATTGGTAATAAATGAACCGAAATGAACCTTCGGATGATCTCCTAACATTTGTATCATTTAGGAATCGAGAGATTTTTAGCGATGTATAGTTTTGTTGAACGATATAATATAATCTGTCCGATATAATCTGATCTATCATTAGCCATCGTGATATACGTATTATTGGAGTCGGAGAAACCCGAAGGTCTCTCATTGTGGTTATTATATTACCAGCGAAAGATTCGATATATACACATGAGACCTTTCGTGGTGCACGCTTGCATTGATCGGTGAAGTAATAATTAATTTGTGGATTGCGAATATACGAAAGAAAGTCTGTGACGTCGAGAATAGCCGCCCGTCTGGAGAATGGCAATAATAATTATGAAGAGAAAATTATATGAAGATTAAGTCGCGTATATAATAGTTATATAATTGGTGGTAAATATTTTTCGAAAAATCATGCAGGATAATCGCAGAGGATACGTCCAAGTTGAATTCAACTCTGATGCGAAAGATCTGAAAAAAAAAATAGTCGGATTAATGATAATGATAATTTCGCAATTTTGTAAAATTTGATCAATCTTGCAGTATTTATCCTAATTTCATTATTTTTTATGCCATAATTTTAGCACGTGTATGGTCAAAGATTTTCTTTCGTCTTAAGAAAGATGCTTAATGAATTTTTTTGCGTCTGTTGGTAAAATGCGAGGTAGTCCTTGTTTTTTCGCAAGAAAGTCAATAAATTTAAAACGCGGCAGCTTATTAAAGCTATAATGTTTAATTAATCGCTACTCCGTTAATTAACGGAGTTAATGATGAGTTCGTTAAACGCAGAATGACGAAAAAAATTAGATAGTATAATTTATTGTTATTACAAGACCATATCATTACGGTTAACACACTTTAGGCGTTATAATTAAAATATTCTGTATAATCGTAGTACGTAATAACAAATGCTCCAATTTATCGTATAACATCAGTTCGCGTAATTTTGCTGTAAAACTAGTATTTCGAATTAGCGAGAGATATTATTCGATTTCTTTATGAGCCATCTTATTAAGAAACGGAAAATAAAAATGGAAGAAATGAAAATTCTTGTTGTTGCCTTGTTTTTAATAGATTATATCCTGCCTCTTATTATAATTGAATATGACAATCGTAGAGAAAATCACGCGATAGACAATCCGTAATTCTAATAGCAAATAAATACAGTATGTATATATAAAAAAATTTGCGATCGAGACATATCTGTAACAATACAATTATTATTATATAACGCGGTAATTTAAAATTTATTCCATGACTTAACATAATATTAATCTAAAATAGATTCAATGACGCAACAAACTCGTGCCAACAGATAATAGAGGAGTCTATTTCTTTGTACGGAATATGAAGCAATTTCTTTTTCATCATTTTATATCTCGTTTCAGAATAAGGAAATCTAGGTAAAAATCCATGTCTTATTTGTTCCATTAATTTGCCATATATGTCCTCGAATGTAAAAAATGATTCAAACAAGGTTTGAAGGCGATGAAAAATTTTGTCGTCGATCGTAGGTGGATAAAAATTCACGTTTCATGCCGAGATATTCGAGAAAAATTCGAGCGTAGCGTATCTGAGCGATGACGGAAAACCCGTGACGCGTTTCTGTGTATAACGACATTGCGTCGTTATCCACAGTCGTAAACTATGTAAATACAAATAAAAGATGGGCCGTGTACTTATGGCGGTATGTCATAAGATTACTGCAGGTTACCGTGTTTGTGCGAGTGTATACAAGGTTGCACACACTTGTAAATATATAATGTAGATCCCCGCAATCGTATACAGGTTCACGTGAGCGCGCGGCCTCGTGTATATGTATACACACGATACACATGGAAGAAGGTCTAAGAAGATATCGCTAAGTGGCCGCCGATATACGGAACGACAGATCAGTTCAAAACCACCTGTCCCAGAAGGTGGATCAATCTGTGGAGATTAAACGTTGACCGGTGTATCGCGCAATAAATCGTCGAGCTAAATTCTCGAATCCTGAAGAAGGGATGGATCGTAGTAAAAGAAAAAGGAGAAAAATAGGTGGTGAAAAGGTAGCAAATCGAATTATCTCTGTGGATTCGGATTTCCTCGAATTAAATTTCTATATGCTTCAAGAATCAAAATTTTAATGACAAATTACGTAAAGCTCGAAAATTTTTGTTTTTATCCACTATTTAATAATCTCTATATAAAATAAATGTCATTCCTACTAGTCCTAATATTTGTGGATGTTATATTATCTTAATGAATGTTTAGAAAAGATAAAGTTTTTCTAATTTAGAAAACGCCCATCTTATCGATAACGTGCCCGTCAAGATAACGACTAAAAAAAGATCGACAATCAATGTCAAAAAATATTTGTATTACATTCTCTCTAATTAAGTTATGTAAAGAGATCTAATTATTACAGTTTAAACCGTTCACAAGACAACATAATGATCTGTCTAATTGCAACTCTTTAAATAAACTTATTAATTATCTATCGGTTTTATAAATTTATTTAGTCTGAGATATTATTTTATTTTAAAGAAGAATTATATAATTATAAAAATTATTTTCCTATCGTGTAGCTTTTTTATCCTTAATATTTCTGGTTTAAATCAAATTGGCCTTGTTTTATTCGATAATAAAATCTTTTTTTTTACACAGAAAATATTTATTGCCACACTGAAGATATTGCTTTCCTGTTGCGCAAAAATAAAAATTATATATAAAAGATCAAGTATATCCAACGGTATACTTAATTATATGTTTACCATCTAATATCTCCTTATTAGCCGAGAATTTATTACCTGAATCGTTAAAAGATCTCACGATTTCCCTAACAAGGTGCAGTATGTACACCAATGTCTTACTAAGATAATCTACAAATAGTCATCTTTGTTTAAATCTAATATATTGAAGAAACAAGGAAAAAATATTTTGCGTAAGTCTTCTGTTAAAAAATTCCAATCGTCGAGGAAAATGCATTACGTATCGAAAACCACTATTCTTTTACATTTGCAATTGAAGTTAGAGTTGCTTTAAAAAATCTTCATTTAAATATTCGCTTCAAAACGATAGTTTTAAATAATAAAACGAATCGCGAAAAATTCAAAAAGATGCACGTAATTTATTCCTTAAAGGAAACCAATGCTGAAAAAACTATTTAGTTCCGCAACGCTTGATAGATAACATTTCATACTCTGTAACCAGTTCTTCTTACTCTCCGTGACATAACCATCACGTAAACAATCGCTAAGTTATGGATTATTCCGCATTATGCAATGAAGACGAATAGAACTGTCAAACCGTTTCACGTGATTTATCTGATCCATTCGAAACTTAAACGCTGATAATTAAAAGCGTAAAAATACTTGTTGAAGAGTAAAATTATATTCCCTGTAAATGATTCAATGATCCGTATTCAATCATAATCTCTGAAAAATGGAATTTTTTGTACAAAAAAATTGCTCAGAAAAAATGTCAAACTGCTTACATTGTTCCTTCATAGTGAGAAGTTACTGTCTCATCTCGATCAGAATCAGACGGAGAAGAAATCAGAGAGAAAGAGAGACAGAGAGAAAGATAGAGAACGCGTCCATCGCGGATAACTTTAACGAGACTTAACGAGTCCACTCCCACACGATCTCAACAATCGTCATTCACCCGTTTTGCTCCCGCGTTACTCATCAGTCCTCTCTGATCATCATCCCGTCTCTGTTCTACGACGCAGAAAGTGCTGCTATCCATCGTCGATCCTTGGGATGTGAAGGTAGCCAGTGTCGATCCGGTCGGATTGGACGCGCGACGAGGCGTCTCCCTGTCCATCCTACCTTCACCCTCTAATCAAGACGAGGGTGTCAATCCGAGATGGACCTTAAGCAAACCTGTCACCAAGACACCATCGCCCTGGTACAAGCCTGGTAGCTCCTCGAGTTACGTCAGCCCCGAAGAATCAGCGCTGATCGATTCGATCTGGCTGCATCCTTCGCGGCGAAGGTATCTTTGATCTTTCCGCCTCATTAGCGTGCTAATGAAGGTGATTAGTAGAGCTGGATAGACTCAAAGCCGTATTCGATTAATGAGATTCGTAGGTTGAAACTTGATTTCGAAAAGAAGCTTCGATATATTCGATATTCAACTTATTTGATTAACACAATAATTTTCATTACACTTAAAATGATTTATAATATGCGTTTTCTCTTTTTTTTTAAAACCAAAGATACGTATAAATGTAATAATGAACTATAGCATAACCGATGTTATGCGAGTCGTCTTCGTAATTTCGCACGTGAATTATTTAATAATCCTAATGTTTCTCGTTACATTTTAAAGGTCGTCATCCGTCAACGCGACTTACAACTCTCCGTCTCTGATTCCGTCCGGAGAAAGATTGCGAGATAGCAAGCAAAAAACCGACGTCGAGGCAAGCGAGGTCGACAATGGATTAATCAACAGCTCGCAGGAAATTAGCCGCGACAATTTCGATGATCTGAACGGAACAGCGGCGGTACGAGTGCGTTTTGAGATCGACAGAGCGGCGGAGCCCTGGCGGAATGGAGTGCGATGTGACGCGAAAAATGGCCAAAATAATATTGTCGATCGTGCGTCGCGTGTGTTGAAAAATTCGGACGCGAGCGATAACGCGAAATCGCAGAATCGCGAAATCAGCGAAGTGACCGCGGAAAAGCAGAAGGATTCGCCGGAAATAGACGATGCAAAAATCAATGAGAACAATGATGATCGTGAGGAAAATTCTCGGATAATTGAGAAGAAGCCAGCGATCGTCGATATCGTTCAGCACTTGGTGGAATCCAGGTAACTATTGGAAATTGCCGATGAAAATAATACGCTGGAATAATAATTTTTGGAAATAACAAAAAATTCATTTGACATCAAATCTCTGATGTGCAAAGTCAAAGAGAGAGCTATCGAAAATTTGTATAATTTTCTCTAGCTTTCCAAGCATTTTTTTTACTTTTTTATATAAATGACAGATGATTCGGAAGTAGACGTGTTTTAAATCAGACAACACTTTGCAATGTTCCATTTTATATTTTAAGGTACAGTCCGCAAACCGCGCAGAAGAGCAGATTAAAAAGGATGCCATCATGTCGTCAACAAGAAGATTCAAACGAAATAGATCCAGTAGGTAAGACAACGATTCTTACTGTATGAAAGTGTCGAGAATCAGGTAGATAACTTGAGATGAATTTTAAAGAACATTATGTTGGAATTAAAGCGAGATCTTCCGGTAATTTAGGTTTATTAGGATTGTTTAGGATCAACCAGTGTGCCAACCACAATACAGGATCAGTCGGTCGATGTTTGCAACACTGTAAAAAAATTCATACATAATTAATTATCCAAATAATTAGAAAAATAAAATTAATTTATTAATAGCAAATTTTATACGCGTCAATACAATTTATCAGGAGAGATTACTTTACCAAAGTTAGACCTTCGACGAGAATCGGATTAATATTTTCCCATAAAAAGTCTTTAGCCGCCTCGTTCCTCAATAACGGCTCATATATGACTGTGAAAAGAGAAAATAAATTTTAATTCAATAATCAAAGCGATGCTATTAAAAGTACTTGAAACATTCTTAAAAGACGACAATAAAATAAAAGAACAATTCTTACATTGAGGAAAGAAAAAGTGGATCTCTTTTTCAGCTTGTTGACGACTATCGCTACCATGTACAGCATTTTTGCAATCATCTCTACGACCGTATCTCGCTCTTATGCTGTCGGGAAAATACATACGCGCCTCAGTTACCTGGAATAATTTTTCAATGAGTTAGAAAAAATGAATGAGGAAAAATCCATGGCTAAAATTGCGAATCAACATTATTCGATTGTCCTAATATATTCCGTAAAATACCGTAGCCGGTCCTATGATTCTCTTCCATTCTTCCACGGCATTCTGCTTCGCCAATACAAACACCATAATAGATCCTGAAGACATGTACGCCACCAGACGAGGGAAGCTTAATTCGCTGAAGTGATCGTTGTAGAATTCCGAAGCCTGTTCGGGTGTAAGTTGAAGCCAACGAATCTGGCAAATCTCGAAACCTTCCGTGTATATTCGACGCTCGATCTCTTTTCTGTAGATCATCGCTTCGGGCTTTATTATAGCCAAGGTGTACTCGATTCCCGGCTCCTCCTTTTCAATTTCGTCGTAACAAACCGCTGGCAACTTGAAACCTTCTTCTTCGCCGGAATAATCGCATTCCGTTGGGCAAACTTTGTGCTGCGCGATTATCGATATAATTATTTGTTTGCAAAATAAAATGAATCTTTAATCAATCATTACGTTTTACTGGATTGAAGATATTTCTTTGTCAACGTCTCGTACCGTTCTGCTGGATTCGCTAAAGAATTCCGTACTCGACGACGATCTTTTCGCAAAGTCGCATGCCGTGTCACTGCTATTAGATTGCACGGAATCGATCGACATGCAATTCGGACTGGAGGGAATTGTGTGTTCGAGGATGTCTCTTCCGGGACGATACGACGTGGAACATTTCGAGAAGATGGTTACGATTTCAGGCCCAATTTTCCCAACAGTTTTATCATCTGCCAAGTTTTGTGAACAATCGCACATTTTTTATTTCGCACTTTTTGAGATTATTTTTAAATCTCTTTATTTTTCTCCCTCTCCCTCTCTTCCTCTCTCTATTTAGGAAAGTAATGAGGAAATCAATTTAATTTACTTATTTATTTATATTTATGTCATGCGTTTGCAGAAATTATAAAAGCAGGTTATATTCTTGATATTTGTTTATTCCGTTATGCGCTATCGTCATGGTAAAAGTGCTAAGTTTTTAATTATTAATCCTGTAAGTACCTTTTTGCTCTCCAATTGCACTGCCGCTCCAATTGCCGCGATGTTTTCCTACGAAAGTTTGTACTACGATAAGTTAGCGGAATCACGTTATTTGCGTAGACGCGCCCATTTCTGATCGCTAATATTTATTTAGCGATAACGTTCGAACTATGTGAATTAATTTTATAGAAATTATATTATTATTAATCCGCGTGCGCGCGCTAACATTATTTTAACACAATTAAATGTCGCCGCGAGTGATAAGACGCATGTTTTAAATATATGTATAAATTTTCATTAATTTTATTTGATCAATTTTTCACGATTTTGCTTGCAGATAAATCGAACAACAATACGAATGCACTTGTTGATGTAACCAAGAGAGAAAAAATTCAAGAAGCGGCCGAGAAGACGAATAACGCGGTGAAAGCATTGCCGGAAGTGACAGCGCTGCGTGTTACGAATATAAGGAAGACTAGTATCTCGATGCCTAGCAAACTTGATGAGATGGACGATCTTCGAATAGACAGACAAAACGTAAGTGAATTCATACATTAACTTTGAATATGGTCGCATTCATAATGCGATTCTATTATTACGCGCGATCTATATATGTGAGGTCTCTATTAAACTATGAGATAAAATAATACTATATATGTACTATAAACTATATTATAAATATTATTTCATATTACTTAAATATTCGCGCTAAAAATACGTAAACGAATAAATAAATCGGAAGATCTCATTATCATTATCTTCATTAAAATGTACAATTATGTCTCTAACGTATGTAAAGTGGGGATGTAGAAAATTGATAACAACTGAAACATCTCTCGAAGAGAGAGATGTTATAAGAAGGAGAGATTATTCTCATGTTTGTATATACACGTACATTGTATGTGCATACCTATACACCTAATCTCGAAACTCCAATTGTTCCAACAATCAAATAATATCAACACATCGCGCGTTTTCATTCATCGAATAATCAAATAATCATTAAATTTTAAAATTATATGTGCAAATATGTAATTAAATAGTGATGTGTTGTAAATAATACGTTATAATATTTTAACCTTTCGATTATTTTCAATTTTATATAATAATGAATGTTTATATAATAATGAACTTTTATGTGTATATACAGATTATTTCTGTTGTTCCTAAAATATTTTAATTAATGGCATGATTGATAATTATCAAATTATCATAAGTCTCAGGAAAAGTTACGACCAAGCAAATCATTGCTATCGATAAATGGATCACGCGAAGGATCACAGATATAATTCCATGTATATTCTTTGAAGAAATTGACAATAATAGAAATAGACTAGATAACATTAAGAAGTTAAAAGTTCTTTACAAAATAAAGTTTTTGGAAATATTTCGAGAATTTTAGTAATTTTTTTTAAAGAAAATTGTGTATTATATAACACGAGAATATTCTGAATATATTAAAAATAAAAATTAATTTCTTTTCTAAACGTCGATCTCCATAAACTAATAGATATCATTTCACTTTATTATTAATTACCTATTATAGCATTTATATCCACAAATTGACTTACAAAAAACGAGAGTCCTCGCCAATGCTGTGTTACGTAATGTTTATCATTTACGAACTATCCGTGCATGCGGAGTCGCACGAGTAGCATTCCACTTTAGTGAAACGAGTAGTTCCTGCAGACCTCTTGATACGAACGGTTCGATGCCTCCGTGCATCTCTCGCGCGACGTGTATGGTGCGCAATTTCATTTTATATTCATTTTCTTTAGAATACTTCATCATACTTTCTCTATCGACTATTTTTTTTCCTTAAAATATGAATAAATGTATAGTAAAAAAAATAAATTTTTCGTATTTGTGAAAAAACAACGAAAAAAAATTTTTTTTAGTAAATTATACAATAATATTGAATATTTTTTCGCGATATAAAAAATGTAATAAAAATGACCACTGATAATTACTTGACGGTAAGCATCGATTTAATTATAATAGTATATGTCGAAGGATATTTGCAGAACGAAATTAGCATAATGCTATGACTTTAGATCAAAGGTTAAGAAATGTTCAACATATTCGAATAATGTTTTGCTTCAAAGCAAGACTGTGATAGCGCCTCAAGTATTATGTTTGCTAAATTTGTCGTTTGACAAATTATACAATGTGCAAGAAGTATATTGCTGATAAGGAATGCATTTTTGGATACGGACATTGCATTGAAGTGCTTATCGATGAGCATCATATAGCACTCTTATACACATTCGTTCTTTGTTCTTTTGCATATTTTTATTTGAATTTTTTCTTTTTTTCTGTCTTATCTAGAAAAAAGAATTAAAAATATAAATTTACAAAAATATAAATATAGATTAGCGATTTAAAACGCCGTGGACTAACAATATCAGATCATTTTATTAATACAAAAGATACAAATTTTATTAAAAATATAAATATAGATCTTATCAACATTGCACAAATTTTCTCACGGATTATTATATTAATAAAAAAAAAAACGTTACGTCAGCGATCGATATAGGTGAAAGGGGAATGAATTTTGCTGCGTGATCAACGACGCCGATTTACGGCGTTGATCGATTTTGTTTCATTGCACAGGTGTCGGGGCTTGCTTGTTCACGTCTGACAATGAATCGTTAATGTTTCAGGGGACCGTCTCGAAATTCGCGAGAGCGGAGAGCGAGACCAGCAGTAGCGTGACTTTTAGCAACAGCGGCTCAACGCCGAATGGAAGTCCGTTGGGATCCGACACGGAGGAAGAAGCAAATGACGAAGAGTTGGCCAAGTGAGTATTGGAGATTTAACGATCGATTAAAATTTCGCGAAGAGAGAATTAAACAAAATCGGGTTGCGATTTAAAAATTAATAGAAATCGAGGAAAGTAGCAGAAAGAATTAATAAAGGATTAATTATTTTATCGACTTTCGCAATTGACTTCAATCAGCTCGACTTCTCTTAAATAAACGATTTGTGTCACAAATATGATCCGAGTAACCTTTCGCAAGCTCGTACGTCAGGACTTTATTCAACGAGGAACGATAATAGCGTAGTCCAATATATTGCATGCCGACTTGTGTTTGGCATTTCAATATTGATTCGATTCGCACCTGTGTTAACTCGTCTCGACTGCTTAATAAATCCATAAATCTGCCGATGTCACCGCGTTCGAAAATGCTTCGTGCAGCTCGCCGCAAGAGACGGACACTTGGACTATAATTTTCTCTCGACAATATGCACTTTAAATGCGTAATTTGCATCGAAACACCCCACTAGATGCATATATACACGAGGTACTATTTACTGCGTTCGCATTTACGTTCGAACTGAGCGGATGAAACAGGCAATACCTATATCTGATCGCGTTCACGGTCATCAGAAACACCATCGTCAATTTCGACCTTCCTTCATATCGCATCAGGGTTATCGCGTTATAAGACTCGGCTCCTACAAATATTCATTTCGGCGAACAGTCACTGCTCGCGATTGTAATTACAGTCTCCTCTTCATTTTTTTCCTTCTATAAACACAATTGTTCAAAATTATCCACTATTCTCCTCATTTACGTCATTTACGTTGAATGTGCGAGTATTCGAGTTTGTCGCATTTCTAAGAATATAATATACGATTGTGTTTTGTGCTTAGTACTGTAAAAAATAATTTCAGAATTAAGACAAATTTTAAAATTCAATATTTAAATTAATATTATATTAACCGTATTTTAAACAAAAACAGGATGATTCCTCGATATGATATCGGTAGCGCTGTATCATTGCAAAGGTACAATAGAACACGTATGTTTCGATAGAAAATTTGAAATTGAAATTAATATTCGTTTTGATTATATATTTATTTAATTACATGATAAAAAATTTTTTTAGAGTGCCATTGCAAGCTCCACCGCGAAGGAAAAGCAGAATCGTGCAATCGTCGGTGAACGAAAAAATGGGAAATGACACGGAACTTTCGGGTGTGCAGAGTGCGAATTCCACGATAACTAGCGTAAACAGCATTAGCAGTCTTTTGAAAGAGAAACTGCAATTATCGTTACCACAAGCACTGCGAAGCAGTACAAGACGTCAGAACGCAGACTACAGGTAAAGCGAGCGAGAGATAAGAAAAATAAAATCTAACAAGAATATTGTATAATATTTCTATCTATTTGAATAATCTCTAAAAAATATAAATTTTCGTAGGCTTAGAGCGTTTGTCGGTTTTCTCTTTTTGTGCGTCGTTTTTCTCGTGGGATTTGCACACATTTATTACAATCAGCATGTCTTACAACGAGCTTACTTTGACAAATTTAGGTAAGTGTTTGTTATCAAAAATATTTTAAATAAATAAAGAATAAAATTTGTATCTTTTGTATTAATAAAATTATCTGATATATTATATTTAATATTCTCTCTCGAGCAAGTTATCGAATTATCGAATTATCGTAATAAATTGTTAGTCCACAGCGTTTTAAATCGCTTGCCTACTGTGGAATAATTTTCGGTCGTTTGCCTCTGCCAGGAAGCACCTAATGGGATATATTACGGCTCGTTTATTAAGCCGATCTCGTGTCAGTCTCAAAATGCGTATTCAATTGTTGACCTAATGCTTACGCTTAACTTTTTAAGAGCTGCATTAGCTTAGAATGGAAAAAGAATCTTGGTAGAGAAGGAAGAGAGAGCAGAATTATCCGAATACTAATTCCAACTATTTTCCTTCATTATTCTATAATTATTATATATCTATCGATATTTCGATACATAATTTTTCGCTCTTTCGTCTTTTCTAAAAATTACAAAAATTTCTTTACAAACGATAACGATCGATCTTCCTTCCAGGTTCAATAAAAATGAAAGAGTGATGACAGTTTATGGTAGCACCGGCGCGGAGATCATCGCCGCTCGGCTCGGCGAGGGTATTCCACCGGAAACGGGAGTGTATCCCTGTCTGCCTCATCATCAACGGCAGGACTCGGTTTGCCTCGAATGGCTGCAACAGACGCGGCTCTACCTCGCGCACACAAAGCGCGAGGACATGCATTGCTATCACGTGACGTGGCAGAGCCTGAGTCCCTATTACAATCCCAAGGACTGCTTCGACTGGTCCTCGAAGAGGGGCCACTGGTACGGCGCTGGTCAGATTCAGAACATGGCGTATCCCTTGGAACGAGGTCGCCTGGAGCTCAGTCCTTTCATCACGGGCGACGTGAGGAGACATTCCTTCGGCAACGTATTGAAACGATACTTCCTGAACTCGAAGGGTGCCACGATCCTGGTGGATCCCGAGACGCCGTTGTACGTCTCCATCAACGCTAATCGAAGCAACGACTTCTGCCTTCAAGCTAAACACGATGTTTTCGCTTACATCAATCATCTGACGCCGCTACCTCAGCTTAATTACACCATTTGCGCCACCGACAACATGAAGACTTTGCACTCCTCGATGGCCGAAAAGTCTCTGTGGGATGGTCTGAAGCCCGACGAGCTGCACGCCGTTCATTCCTTGCTGTCTGAACCAGTCTGGCAGATTTCGCCCACCAACGAGGCGGCCATTTACAATTACACGGAGGATGTGATCGCGCTGGGATTTCTTCGCCAAGGTCACGTTCTGCTGAGCGAGGAATGGCAGCCGAGTCCGGGAGATTTCGTCCTGGACGAAGAGCGATTTCCCTCCATGGAGGAGACGATTAATATCATTCATCGCAGAGGGTTCCGAATAGTCTTCAGCATCCAGCCGTTTATCTCCACGGAATCCATGAACTTCAAAGACGCCGTCGCTAATAGATTACTTATCTCGGAGCGAGGGAGTGATCCTCGGATTCCGGCATTGACGAGGTTACTTTCGACTCACATATTTTTTTAGAATCAGTGATGGGTAAGATACATTTCAAATGTATCTCGATACAGATACAGATATACAAATTAAAATGTATATAGATACAGATATTCAGATACATATCGGATACTTTTAAATTATATTTTATCATAATGATGGTAATATACACAAAATGTACTGAATAATTCTTTTATCTTTATTAATATTTTATTCGTTAGTCTTAACACGTGAAAAATGCCTCAAAGATATCGTCACTCAAACTATTTCGCCGTGATACTAAAATTTGACCAATGTTGATAACTTGCAGTCTTGATCTTTAAAAATTTAAAGAATTGGGTTATTAAAAAAATATGTGAAAATATATCTGCAAATGTATCTGAAAAAAGTAATTCAGATACCAAGTTTTGCATCTAGATACAGATACAGATACTTCAATTGAAGTATCTCAGATACAGACTCAGATACACAAAATATATCTAGATACTACCCAACACTGCTTATAATATACATAATTGTATTTTTCTATGTCATTATTTAACTAAAAAATAAATTTCAAGAATCTTGAAGAATATATTTAATTTCAGGTACAAGCAAAGTAACAGCGCCGGTGTGCTCGACATCACGAACAACAAGACTTTACCTTGGCTGCAAGCGAAGCTCGAGAGCCTGATCATGAAGTATCACGTGGACTCGTTTTACCTCGACCTGGGCACCGCTCAGGACATGCCGCACTATTATAAATGCGAGCAGCCGCTGACCAATCCCGATCATTACAAGACCATCTTCACCCGCTCGATACTGGGCACCATTCCTGTGATCGGGGTTTCCAGCGCCATTTCCAGGCCGCGAGCGCCCGTCTTCGTGTCTTTGCCGCCCTTTCCGTCGTCCTGGAAAGCCATCAAGACCGTGATTCCCACGGTGCTCAGCTATGGCATGATCGGCTACCCCTTTATCATGCCTGGTGCGGTGGGTGGTGACGTGGCGTTGCCGATGTCGGATAACAATCCCGATAACGACTTCGAGGTGGACCTGCCGGACAAGGAGCTCTACATCCGATGGCTGCAACTGTCCACTTTTCTACCGGTGATTCGCTTTACTCATCTGCCCAGCAAGTACTCGGACGAGTCGGTTCTGGAGATCGCGAAGAGGTTGACTACTTTGCGACAGAAGACGGTGACGCCGTTGCTGAAGAAGTACGCGAACGAGACCCTGGACACCGGCTTACCTATCATCAGGCCGCTTTGGATGTTGGATCCGGCTGATCCGGCCTGCCACGTGGTGGTCGACGAGTTCTCCGTCGGCGAGGAGCTGATCGTCGCCCCGGTGCTTTATTCCGGTAGCAGGCAGAGGGAAGTTTATCTGCCGGCTGGTGTCTGGAGAGACGGCATCGACGGGAGTCTGAGGAAAGGCTCGAGGTGGATTCACAATTACAGGGTGGCGGAGGATAAGGTGGCGTACTTCGTCAAGATGCCGGATAACACGAGATTCTAAGAATGAGGACGCCGAATTTAGGACGTCAAAGAATTTATGAGATTGTTTGATTAAAGTAATCAGATTTCACGCGACAATGTGTTTTTTTTCGACAAATATATGAGAGCAATATCAAATGAACATTAGCATTACGAATTTTGACCAAATTTGACATTGATAATTTTTTTTTTAATTCGTGTGATGTATGAATTTGTTGCTCAAGAAACTCTCGAAATGAAGAGAAAAATAATTGCAGTGATGCAGTGATAAATATATCTTATGTCGGTTTTAAATGATGAAAACTTTGCACGTGCAGATGCGATATTTACTATTCGATGAATGTATTTCAAAATTGCAATTGAATGCAATAATTAAATATCCATCGCCACTTTGAAGCACATTTTTTTTTGCAGCTGCTACACTTTTGTACAGCAGAATATTTATACCGTGATAAATACTTAACGACTAAAATTATTACACGTACATTATAAGTACGTTGTTTGATATATATAATCGAGAAACTCTGATTAGACAATAAAAGTATCATTATTACTGTATTCTATGAATATGATACTATCAACAAATATTATATAATAATTGCATACACATTGAAAATCTAGAACCAATTGTAGATTTATAATTTATGCTGACAATTATATTTATTTTACCTAACAATATTTGTATATGGCTTTATTTCTTCACCAATTTCTTGATAGATAATCTAAGATCGAAAGAAATTTGACAAATATATGAATAGAATAAAAAAAAAGAAGTGTCAATATACAATTGGTGAGAATGCAATCTTGCAGGGCGCATGAGCTATTTATTTTCTCATTACAAACTTACATGACATGTAAAACAAAACTCGTGAGCATGCAGAAGCAGGATTCCGAGGACCGGTGTAATTTCCGGTAAATTCGATTTCCAATGCCGCGTAATACAAAAAAGAAAAATATTTTGTATATCACGTCGCAAAAAGACGCGGATATAAGTTCATTTAACACGGGTGTCCGCGGCATCGAGATCCGAAGATGCAGCGAGAGATTACATCGGTCTCGATCCTTGTGCAAAACATCTCCAACAGGCGGCTGATCTACGGTCGATCGACGAGGAGAAAATTAAGACGCATGAGGCACACAGGCGAAGAGATTCTAAGGTATAGTGTATATTTATTATATTATTATTTTTTTTATCATATAGCATAACATCGTTATTTCTATTATAATAATAATAATAATAATAATCATAGCACCATGAACACTCCACAGTAAGTTCTTTATTTTTTTTTCTTTTAATTCGTTATTCGAAAAAACGCGACGCGCCGATGCGCTGCGACGGGTGAGAACCGCGATCATGTAATCGTGAGAGGGAACTCGAGCGAACGCCGAGCCCTTCAACGTCCTCTTCAAGATCTTCGTCGATCTTCGTGATGATCGGAAATTACGCGCGGGTTCGCGTAACAACGAAACACTCGATCGAATGTGACTAGATGACCGTCCGTTTTTTCCCTTTTTTTTTTCAACGCTCTAGAAACGAGATTTCTGACTAGAGTCGCAAGTATCCGAGAAAATTTCCGCAATGGAGGAAAGGTGCGGTTTCTTTTTTGATTTTGCTAATTCGTGCCGTCCGTCCGAACGAAATCGCGATCGGAAATAAATGTGAGCGAATCAAGAGGAGAAAATGAGAGCGACAAAATCGTCGCTTTCCTCCGCATAACGACCCGATAATTTCTCTCTCAATTCATGGCATGATTAATTGTTCCTGAATGATTGTTGGAGAAATATATCACCGTTCTCACACCCGTCGAGCACCGCGATTTGGGGGTTCGCACAGGTGTTGAGGCTCACGTTTTTCACACCTCTCTCTCTTTCTCTCACTCACTCTTCTCTCTCTCTCTCTCTCTCTCTCTCTCATATATATATCTTTCGCTCTGTTTCTCTTTCTCACGCTCTCTTATACTCCATTTATTACTTCGTTCATATATTATATATAGATATCTATATATATAATATATATTTTTTTCTTCCTTCCTCTCATTTCCCGCTACTCTGTTTCGGTGAAAGCTCATTCCTAATCTCTTATTTCTTCTTTTTTTCTTATTTTTTTTAAATACTTTTTATTTAAATTACTCCCATAAATTTTTTTTATATTTTTTGTTTATTTAATCTATCCTGCGCGCATCATCATCGATCGACAATAGCTTCTCATTTAATAGTTTTATTAATTTATTCTGTTCTCATTTAAAAAAAATTTAATTTTATAATTTTTAACATCCTACCTAGATAACTGGTCATTATATTACTTGTCAATAAATAATATATAAATACATAGGTACATATATACACCATCATCATCATCATCTTTTCTTTTTCTCTTTCTTTGCTTTCTCTTCTCTCTCTTTTTTTCTTTTAGATCTATTCTCCCTTGTACACCCAACAATTCGCTATCATACGTATATATATCAAGGTATCGGGAAATATTATAAAAACTTCTCTATTCATACACGAGAAATGAAAAGAGAAAACGATGATGATGATAATGATGATAATGACCCGCTCTCGTGAAACGTAATCGTAATAATATTAATAGAGTAATCGCAATAATAATAATAGCATAATAATAATAATGGCGCAATGATAACAAGCACAATAGTTGTTAAAATTAATCGATACGATAATAATCGTATTTATAACAATATCGATTGTTTTCATTTTTTCCCTCTTTTCTTCAATACTACAATGCCTCTTTCTGTCTCTCTTTTCTTTTACACGTTTTTCTTATTATAAAATTTTCTCGCTCTCTTCTCTTCTCTTTCGCTAATCAGCGAAATAAAACCTTGGTCGCGCATGGTTTAATCGAAAAAAAAAAAAAAAAAACAATCTCTTCTCACAGATTTTTTCGACAATCGATTTTCATCATTCAAACGCTCTTCAGCATCTGGTGAATGCGATACAATGATTGCGCAATGCACAATACACAGTAAACGAAGAGAATAAAAAATAAATAATCAGACGAATAAGACCGAACGATGAGCATATATAAATATATATGTATATATATATATGCATGAAAAACAAATCCCGCGTAAATATCGGAACAAAAGGTATCGTGTGTGTGTGTGTAAACTTACACAGGCGGTAAAAACTTACGCACTAATCTATAGAAACCGGACCCGAAGGCCGCGCTATATCGCGTGTCGATTGCAGCGACAAGACAAATCGTTTTCATCACCATCCTCTCCCGATCGCTCGCCTCGATACCACATCGTATCTTAACAAACGGTCAATCAACGATCGGTCTAATCGAGCACCATCATTTTCGTGTAGGCACGAATGTGTCTCGTATAGAGGAGAGCTTTCTCCGACCTTCATTCAGCGAAATCCATCGCGTAAGCGTCTTTTACTCTGAGAGGTCTCTCGACTTTTGCAAATCTTCAAGTAGTAAAATCCGATGACGGACAACCCCGTATTTAGCTGCAACCTGAAAAAAAAAACAAAAACAAAAAGACGACTCTCTGTTCGCGATCAATATTATTTTTCGTCTCCATGGATCTCGCGAGAATAATGTGAGCAAAGATGTCCTCTATAAGTTACAGTTTCGGTATATCGCGCTTAATCGCACTTGTCTCTCCGTTATATCACCTGCATATCAATTTTCTTTCCTCCCTATGTATCTTTGTTTTTCTTCGTAATTTCAGACGAAAATCGATCTCTTCTACATACGATACATCCCTAAATCGCAGCTAGATCGGTCACTCAAGGCTGTTGCCTCCTAAACCGACACGTTTTTGATTTCGATTCGAATTTATGAGCGTCACGTTGATTTAATATAACGTCGCAAGATGTGACAATTGCGATTTAGGGGTACGCACACGGACTCGACATTAAATGGATTTCTTAGGATTACGACTACACGAATGTTTAGAATCGAGATGCTTGACCTGGTCTCTCCTTCAATCTCACAAAAGAGAAAAAAATATTGAAATGGGTAGCCAAGACAGCACAGATATTCCAAAATTTGTAAAGACTTTCCTTCATAAGTTTTTATGTCGTATGTCTTAAATTTTTTACGTTATTCAAGCAAGAATTTGTATCGGCATCTTTATGAAAATTTCTTGGTAAACATTTCCTATAACAAGACCTCAAATGTTTTTCACGTTCTCGCCGTGCAGTAAAAATGAATACAGGAGATCGATTTGCTAAAAATCATGTTTTAAGTAGTGAGGATTTCGAATAAGCGGGATATTCGAAATCTACATCCGCGTTATTAATTGTTCATCATTGTACCTCATCACCGTCATCACCATCTCGTCAATTCGTCACCCGCTTTACGGTAAAACGCCCTAGTTAAGAAAAAGTTAAGTACAAAAAGTTTCATCGATCCTAATAGACTCTTCCAAGTGAATTCATGTGACGTCACATGATGATTTTAAGGTCGCCGGCGATGAACCGCGAGGTCTGTCTGGAAACGAATCTATTTAAGGAATAGCGATCGATTATTTCTTCAACGACATTGATATCTCAAACAGTGGCCGGGCGAAATAGTCATTCGGGTAAGCGTTTTCTTTTTAACTTTGAATCTCTACTCGCGTAAATTTATGATACGTCGATATAGAATCGATGACATGACATTCCTCGCCATTGTAACGGAGCTTTAATCCAGTCTTTATCGTTGCGCCATGTCTTCATTCAGTAATACTTGGCTTTTACTATCTGTCAAACTAGTTTTCTCTATCACGATTGTTCTTTTTATGGAAAATGCTGTTTTCGACGGATCATCCCTCTGACGCACATTTCTATCTTTCAAAAGTCCTCCAAGATTAGTCGGATCTCATTTCCAGGAAACTTTCTCGCGCGAACGAATTGCAAACTTGTTTGTGCGACACTACAGAGACTCGATCATTGAAAATATCTGTCTTTTTATTTTCGACAGTTTCGATATTAGTTTTCCCGATTATATACGCGGACAAGGTCTCCTTTTCTTTCTCGAAAACGATTCTGTCATCCTCCACGAAGATTGAACCTTAATAAAAAAAAAAGAATCACAACCACTATTCCTCTGAAGTTCCGTCCGCGTCGCGCAAGGATAATAAATGTTCCTTCGCGTAAAACAATCGTTAACCCATTTCAATAGACGTTTCGAAATGCATCATCATCATCGCTCTTGCACTTCCTTTATATATACGGCAACGAAACGCTCTTTCGGACTTCTTCGTAAACATCCTCGTCGGACTCCTCGACGCCTAAACCCGCCCACGCGGATCCCAAGATGACGAAAATCTGTCATCAAGCTCGCGCGACCATCGCTCTACATATTCTCTACGATATAGAAACACGACACACAGATAATTCCTTATCCTAGTAGACTTTCCGATGGAATTTAGCCGTTTTTTTTTATCTACGCACGAATAGACATTTACGACGAGAAAGGGGGAACAACGAAGGATAATGTTTCACGGAATAACGTGGAATACGTTTTTCTCTCCCTGCATGTCCCGATTAAGGATCCATCAAGCGCGCGTTTCGTTTCCCGTTCACGATATAATATATCTCACCGCGTGAATAAAAAAAGAGATACTCTTCTTCTTTCCCATGTCCTCTTTCTTTCTTCACGTTTTTTCTCTTTTAAACTGATACACTGAATATTCTACGCGGTGCTCTTGAAGCGGCAGCTGTGTCAGAGATATTAAAAGGTTTACTTTAATCTGCTGCTCGAGGAGAGAGTGGGGCGCGAGAAAATCTCGATGATTTGTGAGTGACTCTGCGATCGTTCGACCCGTTGAACTCATTAAATCGGCAATCCTAATCAATTTATTCAGTAAGCATACTATAACGATACAGATTATCCAGGCAGCGGACTTTACGAACATCGCGATCGATCGATCGAGCAGCGTCACAAATCGTCGGCCCTTATTGCGCTTTCAGAGCGGAACTTGTGCGAGAATGTGCATTCCCGCGGTCAACCTCGACTTGAGCAGTGATTGCAGGCGGTATCAGCACGCGCTATGGGCTGCGGAACGGTGTGCAAAGTGTAGAAATACAAATATCTCGTTATATCGTTAGATCAAAAAAGAGGATATTCGCCGCTGTTATTAACACAGCGCCGATCATCCTTCATGAAATTCTTCTCTCTATTTAGATAATCCGCTTCTTAGAAGTAAGTAATTAATTTTGTTATACCTTGTATCCGTACTAAGGAGAAAAATCCCTACAATCTCTCGTCTCGTCGCCCGCACCGTCTCCTCGCGAAAGAATACGGAGAACGTGTTTTAACTTAGATTAGAATTTTAGGTCTCGAGATTTGAGACCTGCGCGAACTCGAAGATCGATCTCTCTTCTTCGGGACAAAACCTCTACATAGAATTCGATAGGATTTCTACGATCCTGCTAGGCCGCGGAGCTACGACTGCGAGGGAATCTCGAAAAATTCGAAACGCCGTCTGTCTTCGGGTCTCTTCTACAAAGGGAAGAAGGAGTCAGGGCGTCAAGGCTCGCCCTGACGGGACGGTAGGTCGGTCAACGCGCGCGCGCGCTCGACCTCTCTTTTCCTTTATCTTTTTTTCTCCTTTTTTTTTCTTAGGAATGGGTCCAAAAAAGCGGAATGATGACGCGTTCCGGACGCCGCTCAGAACTCGACTATTACGGCTGAGCAGGCTGCCAATCCCTAGAACTCGAGCCTGTAGGCGCTACAACTAGTCTCGTGATCCTGGAGATTGATGGTGCACCGGGACGCGGACGGCGATAAGTCTATGTGATTTGCGGCGAGCGCCTCCTCGTTGTCGGCAACCCAGTAACCCAGAGTGTCGGTGTCGTAAGTCGGGATCATGGTTACCTCTGAGAAAAGAATGCGGAAGAAATATCAGGGAGTGCGCGAAACACGCACAAACACGCGACAAGTTATTCATCAGAAATTTAAATATTATCAAATATTGATATGTAAAGCATTAATTTTTCATTAAATATAAATATATTGAATTTAATTTCTCGATATATAGAAAAAAATATGTCTTGTGCGCAATTAATTAGTTTAAAAAAAAAAAATCAATTTTTCTTGAACTTGACATTTTACATCTGGCTTTAATTAACTTATTATTAAATTAAAATTCAAATATGATTAATAATTCGGTTCACATTGTATTCGACTTTAAATGAACTTTGCGGTAAAACTTTTCCAACATGCAGTGTTCAATAGTTTTTTTAATAACTGAAATAATTTCGAATATATTTAATCATTATCTCAAAATTACAATATAATAGAGCGTATATATTTTATATTATATTATAATATAATAAAATACATTATATTCTGAAAAATGTTAATTCAGTGTAAAAATAAAAATAAGAGAAAAATATATAATTTCTCTTTCTTTATAAAAAAAATCTATTTATATATATTTTTTATTAAACTCTGTAATAAATATAATAGATTGATAATATTCTGAAAGTACAGGTTTTCACTAAACCTACCAAGATCCTTGTCTTCCCAAGTCTTTTTAGCTTCCAGCAAAGCATCGTAGACCTCTCGGCTCGGCTCGGTGCCGCTGAAAACGTAATACCTCGCTCGCACTCGCTTGAAGAATTCCAGAGAAGTGTAGTACGAATTTCCGTGATGCGGCACGTACGCCAGGTCCATGTAAACCGGTTGGATCTTATTTTTCGAGTCCTTGGATCTTTTGTCGTTCTTCCCGGGACTCTCCGAGCGTTTCTTATTTTTAATATTCTCCGATTGGACTCTCTTCGCTTGCTTCCGCTCCTTCTTCGGCGTGCTGGGCGCACCTTTATTCGAGACTTCATTAGGTGCCGGAGCGGGTGAAGGCAATCTAAGAGGTTCTCCCCAATCCTTCAACACGTCGAAGTTTAAGGTTTCGGAAGTCGACTCGCTCGAGCAGGACGCTTGAGCGGGGTTCTTGAGATTAAATTTCCTGGGAGGTTTCGGAGACGGCAGGCCGAGAGGAGATCCCCATCCTTCCAGAGGATCTTTCTTCGAGTCACCCTTCGAATCGTCCTTGTCGTCCCGGAAAGAGGACGACGGATGATCCTTCGCGTCCTCCGTCTCGTGTCGAAGACTACCGTTTGTGTACCTAGGTGCTATGCCACTGCTGAAGGCACCATTGCCCTCTTTCTCCTTGTGCTCCATCAACGCCTTGTCGAAATCCAGGTCAGCCTCGTCGACGTATCTCTTCGCGTCCGGCTTCTCGCCGTAACCGCCAGCAAATTCCTTCTCCACCATAAAATGATGAGGCACGGGATCGTCGCTCTTCTGCACTCCGGTCTCCCCGTGGAAGGTCTTCATCGCGGAGATCTGAGCCGGCACCGCCGGTAACTCGCCGTAGAAGCTGCTACTCATCGCAGCCGCCGAGAATTCGACCTGCGGCTCCTCTTCCTTCGAGGACGAACACTTCTGCGGCGAATATCCCACTTGCGAGGTCGAGGATAACGGCGAGCTCGGCGGCTCGTCGTCGTCGCTGTGCTGCGGCGATTCCGAGGACTTGATCACACTGCTGATCGCGCTCTCCGCGGCGTCCTTCCCAGGCAAACGCTCGTCCACCTTCACGTCGGTCTTCTCCGCCAGGACAACCGTCTCGCCTTTCTCGTTTGTCGACTCCGTCACCTCTCTGGTGGTCGTCACTATCTCGCCTTCGTCGGATATCATCTTCGTGGTGGTGATGGTGGTGCGGATCACCTCGCCCGATCTGAATCCTTCCGGAGTAGCCGAGGATCGACCCTCGGATCTTCTATCAGGCGTCGATCTACCCGACAGATGCGGCTGAACGGCGGCGCCGTCTCGGACCAACGGCGACATGGGTATTTCCGGAGTGGATTTACCGGTCGAGCCGCTGAAGACGATGTCCTTGGGCAGGGATATGTCCGGCGAGGATTTGCCGGAGTAACTCTTATCGTCCGAGATTAGATCTCGCACTAACGGCGACACTGGATGCTCGAACTTGTCCGCGCCCAAGTGCTCCTTCGTAGACTCGAACTTCTCCTCCTGCTTGAGATCGGGGCTCGATTTACCGGAATCGTAGAGGGTCTTCACCTCAGGCGTCGAAGTGCCGGATGTCACCGTTGTAATCGTCTCCTTGATGATCTTCTCCGCCGATTTGGTGGTCTCCGTAGCGATTTTGCCGGTATCGATGAGCGTCTCCAACAGTTTCTCGCTGTCTACCGTGTCGGTGCTCTCCGTCACGTCTTTCTTCGTGGTGACCTTGCCGTCCGGACCGGTGATGGTAGTCACCGTCGTCACGATTCGCTTCACGTCGGCGCTGGTCGACGCGTCGGGCGCGCTTTCGTCGCTCACGACTCTGTAGGTTGCGCCCGAGGTAGGATCGGTGTAAATTTTCGAAGGATCGGTATGCGCGAATTCGGCATCCGGCAGCTCCTCCGTCACGATTGTTCTCGTTGTTCTCGTCGTAATCGTCTTTACGTACTCGCCGGAGTCATCCTTGGAATCGCTCGTCTCTTCGTCGGGAACGACGATCTCGTGTTTGATTACCTTCGTAATAATTTCGGGCTCGTCCTGCTCGATAATCTCGCGTTTGATGACTTTAGTGACTACTTCCGGTTCCTCGTGTTCGATGATTTCCCGTTTAATGATTTTGGTAATCGCCTCGGGTTCGTCTTGTTGAACGCTCGGCCGTTTAGTTTCTTTAATCTCCACCGGTTCCGAGTCCTCTTCCGGCTCGACTATTTCGCGTTTGATTATTTTTTAACCACGATGACGTCGCTGTCAGATTCGGTCGCAGGCTCACCGGATGTCTCTTTTGAAATCTCTGCAGTTTTACTTTCAGGTTTATCTTTATCGGTAATTTCGTGCTTCGTATCGTGTTTTTCCGAACTTTCAGGAAGATGAGGTTCCGCGATCTTGCTTTCTCTCAGGATCGTGACAGTTTCCACGGTCTTTGGATCTTCAACTTCCGTTATGTGAGTCGTGGTAAGAGTCGTGGTCTCCAATAACTTATCGGATGCCTTGTCAGCGGTTTCGATTCCGGACTCGGGTGTCGCGTCGTGAGTGGCGAATTCTGGCGTCGATTTGCCGGAAAGCGTAGTTATATGCGTCGTCCGCATTTCCGTCATACCGCCGACAAAGGCCTTATGGAACTGGCTCTCGTAATCCATCGGATAATCAGATTTATCCAATTGTCGCTCACCCGACTCCGCATACATCCCGCTCATTCTGTACTCGATGGAAGATTTTCTGTCGCCTTCGTAACCGTCCGCCGTTCGGTCGTAGTGATAAACCGCCTTCTCGTAGTCCTCTTCCGGTTCTTCCTCTTGGTAAATCTCCACATCGATCACAGATTCTCTCGGTATTTTTCTTTTTAGTATAATTTCCTCCACGATTTCCAAGATGATGTATCTCGGCAAGGAAGTTCTGATAATTATCTCCTCGAGGATCACTTCCGTGATCTTGTGACCCTTCTTTATGTACTCTTCCTCCAACAGCTTTTCAATTTCCGTTCGTTTCTCTTCCGAGATCGAAATTTCTTCGTCTATATGCGGCTCCGATCGAGCTGGACTGTCCTGGGTCGACTTGTCGGAAGGGATAGGCTCCGGACTGAGGCTGGGACTGGCAGAAAGCGCTTTATCCCGAGCACTGCCCGCAGGAGATACCTTACCGTCCGTACTTTCGCCTCTGGTAGAGTCGCTTGGCTTTTCCTGAGTAATGCTGGCTCGTTTCAAATCGGTCGACGCAATCGGCCTGTCGTCACTTGTCTCGATAATATCCGGACTCTTCTCTTCCAGTTCGCCTAAATCACCTTCGATCACGGTGTTTCTTGGTATATGCTTGGTCACGATAATCTCTTCGATGATCGTAATAATAATATATCGCGGCAGGCCTTTGAGAATGACGATCTCCTCCAACGTTTCCGGCGTAATTTTCTTCTTCTTCGCGATGAATTCTTCGGTTATATATTTTTCGACGTCCGCCTTCTTTTGCGGCGGCAGTATCGCCATTTCTTTCTCGTGTTGAGATTCGGACGATTCGTCATCGACGAAGTCGAAGACCGCACTCCTAGGCACATTTTGCCGGTTGATAATGTCCTCTATTATTTCCATCACTATAAACTGCGGCACCGAATACGTCATGACCAGTTTCTCGATCACTATTAAACTGATTTTCTTCTTCCTTTCGATAAACTCTTCCAAAATGTACTTTTCAATTTCCGCTTTCTTCTCAGCTGTCACTTTGACGATGCTTTCTTCCTCGTCGTCCAATTTTTCTATCGCGCTCGGCTGCGAAGTGTCCGGTTCTCCGAAATCGGCGAATCGTTTCTCGCGAATCTTGCGCATTTCTTTCTGAATCATTTCGGGAGATGTCGCAGGGCTCGTCTTTTCTTTCGGCAAACCCTTGCTTTCGTCCTGAGGAACCTTGTCGTCGAATAAACTGGCTGTTCTCGATCTATCGGCCGGTGTTTTATCTAAAGGCGAACTGGCTCGCGACGACTTAGCGGATTCATCTTTCGGCATTTTTTCTAAACTCGGTGAAATCTTGGTATCGACGCCATCGTGCTTCTCGCTACCAATGCTGGACGATCTGGACTTTTCTTTCTGATCGAATTTATCGTCGGCTAAACTCGGCGATTTCGAGACATCGGACGAGGATTTCGGTTCTGTCTTGTCACTGATAATGCTTAATGATCTCGTTTTGTCAATTACGTCTTGTTCGTCGGTTACGTCGGACGTTTTCAATCCGCCAATATCTATTTTTTCTATCGGTAGCTTGTCAAGAACATCGTCCGCTGATTCAATATCCAATTTTTCGACGACTGTCGGAGACTTCGCCTCGGCGAAATTCGGAGATTTATCGGTGGCGTCTTCGTAATATTCTTTACCGCCGACCTTACTGTCCGATACCTTCTCGTCAGATTTATCGCTGGCAGTGCTGGGAGATTTGCTCCGTTCAACAGGTGGTTCTAATTTATCAGAGACCGAAGGTGATATCGATTTTTCGAATGGTTCCGCTTTCTCGACCGTGAGACTCGCGACGCTGGATGATCTGGATTTATCGGCCGGCGGTTCCATGACATCTTTCAAATCTGGTTTATCTTCCGTGATACTGGTCGGTCTCGAGCCGGATTTTTCACTCGCTATGCTCGGAGATTTACTCCTGTCTTGCGGCTCTTTAATTTGTTGAGAAACTCCAGGGGAAACTGGTCTTTCGATTGATTCCTTTCGATCAGTTGTCACACTGGACGATCTAGACTTGTCAATCGGCGGTTCTGACACATCTTTCAAGTCCGCAGCATCTCCAGCAATGCTCGACGGTTTAGAACTAACGACTGACTTCGCATCTTCGGATTTTTCGCTAGCCACGCTCGGCGATTTACTTCTCTCGAAATCTTCTTTTTTATCCCCGAACGATTTTTTGTCGTCGGATTTATCGCTCGGTAATTTTTCAATATGTTGATCGGCGACGTCCTTCAAATCCGGTTTTTCGTCAACAACGCTGGGTGATTTAGAGCGATCGGTCGTTTTCTTCTGCTCGCTTGTAATGCTTACAACGCTGGCGGATCTAGATTTAGCTGCCGGTTCCTTTTCGTCTGACTTGTCTTCAGCAATGCTCGGTGATTTCGATCGTTCTTCGGGTTCCTTTAAATCACTCATCGCGCTAGGTGATCTACTAGATTTGTCTGTCGCTGCTTCCGTTACGTCTTTTATATCCGGTTTTTCGCTAGTAATACTGGGCGATTTTGAGTGATCCGTCGATTCTTTTTGAATATCCGTCACGCTCGTAATACTTGACGATCTTGATTTGTCATGAGATATATCGATGAGATCTTTCAAATCTGATTTCTCTCCGGCGATACTCGGCGACTTGGAGCGATCGATTGGGTCCTTTTGTTCTCCTGTACTTATAATGCTAGACGATCTTGATTTATCATGCGGTTGCTCCGTGACATCTTTCAAATCCGGCTTCTCGTCGACTGATTTCTCTCCGGCGATACTCGGCGACTTGGAGCGATCGATTGGGTCCTTTTGTTCTCCTGTACTTATAATGCTAGACGATCTTGATTTATCATGCGGTTGCTCCGTGACATCTTTCAAATCCGGCTTCTCGTCGACGATGCTTGGTGACTTCGAACGATCAGCAGGTTCCTTTTTATCAGTTACGATACTCGAGACACTCGGTGACCTCGATTTGTCGGTCGGCTCCTCCAATTTTTCTCCAACAGGGCTTGGCGATTTTTTAATTTCCTCTGGAACATCTTTCAAATCCGGCTTCTCGTCGACGATGCTTGGTGACTTCGAACGATCAGCAGGTTCCTTTTTATCAGTTACGATACTCGAGACACTCGGTGACCTCGATTTGTCGGTCGGCTCCTCCAATTTTTCTCCGACAGGGCTTGGCGATTTTTTAATTTCCTCTGGAACATCTTTCAAATCCGGCTTCTCGTCGACGATGCTTGGTGACTTCGAACGATCAGCAGGTTCCTTTTTATCAGTTACGATACTCGAGACACTCGGTGACCTCGATTTGTCGGTCGGCTCCTCCAATTTTTCTCCGACAAGGCTTGGCGATTTTTTAATTTCCTCTGGAACATCTTTCAAATCCGGCTTCTCGTCGACGATGCTTGGTGACTTCGAACGATCAGCAGGTTCCTTTTTATCAGTTACGATACTCGAGACACTTGGTGACCTCGATTTGTCGGTCGGCTCCTCCAATTTTTCTCCGACAGGGCTTGGCGATTTTTTAATTTCCTCTGGAACATCTTTCAAATCCGGCTTCTCGTCGACGATACTTGGTGACTTCGAACGATCAGCAGGTTCCTTTTTATCAGTTACGATACTCGAGACACTTGGTGACCTCGATTTTTCGGTCGGCTCCTCCAATTTTTCTCCGACAGAGCTTGGCGATTTTTTAATTTCTTCTGGAACATCTTTCAAATCTGGCTTCTCGTCGACGATGCTTGGTGACTTCGAACGATCAGCAGGTTCCTTTTTATCAGTTACGATACTCGAGACACTCGGTGACCTCGATTTGTCGGTCGGCTCCTCCAATTTTTCTCCGACAGGGCTTGGCGATTTTTTAATTTCCTCTGGAACATCTTTCAAATCCGGCTTCTCGTCGACGATACTTGGTGACTTCGAACGATCAGCAGGTTCCTTTTTATCAGTTACGATACTCGAGACACTTGGTGACCTCGATTTTTCGGTCGGCTCCTCCAATTTTTCTCCGACAGAGCTTGGCGATTTTTTAATTTCTTCTGGAACATCTTTCAAATCTGGCTTCTCGTCGACGATGCTTGGTGACTTCGAACGATCAGCAGGTTCCTTTTTATCAGTTACGATACTCGAGACACTCGGTGACCTCGATTTGTCGGTCGGCTCCTCCAATTTTTCTCCGACAGGGCTTGGCGATTTTTTAATTTCCTCTGGAACAGATTGCTCTCCGACGATACTGAACGATCTGGATTTTTCAGATGGTTCTTTCTCCTCGACGTCTAATTTCTGCTCGACAGGACTCGGTGATTTTTCTTTAAGTATTTCTTTAGATTCGCTGATAGTGCTCGTCACACTCGACGATCGGGATTTGTCTAACGGAGGTTGCATCATATCCTTCGCTTCGTCGATTTTCGGAGACTTTTGCGCGTCTTTCGGTATTTCGGTTTCATCAATGGCGGACTTCGGAAGTTTCTCATCTTTATCGCTCATGACACTAGGCGATCGGGCTCTCTCGATTGATAGGTCCATATCCTTGAGATCTATTTTTTCTACAGAAATGCTTGGTGATCTAGAACTTACTTTTTTGCTATCTGATTTATCACTAGCTACACTGGGAGATCTAGTTTTATCTTGTTCTTCAGTCTTATCAATATCTTTAGGCGATTCTGGCCTATCAAAAATAGGGGATTTTTGTTTCTCTAAATAACTTTCCATCACATCTTGAAGATCCGCCTTATCCGCGGCTATACTCGGTGACTTCGAACGTTCGGCTTCCTTTCTCCCATCAGATCTATCGCTGATTGCGCTTGATCTTCTAGCTTCATCAATTGGTCCCTTTTCATCGTAATGTTCACTCTCGAGAATAGGCGATTTTTCACTTATTATTGTTTCTTTCTCGATGGCGCTTGGCAATTTTGGCTTATCACTTTCCTTCTCCTCGGCTTTATCACTAACAAATGTATCGGGGGATTTAATATCTTGCTCGGATTTCTCACTAGCGATACTCGGAGATTTAGATTTATCTACCGGTTCCTTACTAGGAGACTTACTAGGAGAACGTACAGATGATTCCTTCTCGTCAGATTTTTCACTAGATATACTTAAAACATCTTTCTCTTCGTGCTTTTCGCTGCTTACGCTCGACGATCTAGATTTCTCAAATGGAGCTTTTTCGTCTAGTGCACTGGTAGCAATAACAGGCGATATAGGTTTCAAATCAGATTCTTTCGTTTCGGGCTTTTCCGATGTTGATTCTTTACTTTCCGGACTCGGCGTTTTTTCGGGAGCAACATCTTCTTCGGTAATAGGTACGAAATGCATTTCAGGCTTGTCCGTGGGTGACTTCGAGAAAATTGTCTCGGCCGGTGAAATGTCTTCTGAATGGAGCGATTCCGGTGTTTTCGAGACACTAGTTGTTTCTTCTTTTGATGGTTGTGAAAGCTCCTTCTCATCAAGAAGTAATTTTGATTCTTGTATATGCTCGTGTTCAACTTTAGACGGTGAGGGAGATCTTGATTTCTCCATTTTTTCGATATCCTTCGTAGGACTTTTCTTCTCAACAATTTCTTCAGCCGGAGATTTCACTTTTTCAATTTCTCCTGCATCCTTAGCGAGAGATTTCGGCTCTTCTTGCTTCTCTTCAGGCGAGTGCGATACATCTTTCTCAGCTAAAAATTCATCGGACTTTAAATCTTCTTTTTCCAAAGGAGATTTCGGTTTTGCAATATTTTCCGATTTTTCGTCGTCGGTTGACGGTACTTGAATATCCTTCGGTTTATGCAATTCTACTTTTTCCAAACTGTCTTCAAGATCCTGTGAATCGCGAGTACCAATAGGAGATTTCTCTAAGCTGTCTTCGGGGGTGATTTTATCCTTACCTTCGGGTACAGATTTCTCGGAAATGCTATCCTTTTCAGGAGTACTCATGCCCGAGTGCAACGAGTCTTTATCCAAAAGTAAAGAATCTTTGTCTGGTGTGGATTTAACGGATGCTGAATCTTTGAGAGAATCTTCCGGAGTGACGGTTTTTATAAAAGTTATGCTGCCGGTCGGACAAATTTCTGTTTCTTCTCTGCCATCCTCGCTACATGCTGTGACCAGCATTCTTTTTACAGTGCCAGTATCTTCATCGATCTTTGTAGGTTTAGCCTCTGGTGATTTTTCGTCTTTAATTTTTTCGACAGGTTTAACTTCCTCAACATGTGGCTCTTCTTTCGCTTTTACTTCGTCTTCCGGCTCTTTTGAGATACTTTCCCTTTTACTTAAAACTTCTTCGGATAATTCTTCAGGACTCTTTTCTTCCTCGGCTATTGGAGCTTCTTTAATCTCTGCAGTTTCCAATTTGAATTTTTTATCGTCTTCAAGTAGTTCTGTCTTTGGCTCGTGTGCAAAGCCTGTTGCATCCGCGATTTTTGTTTCTGGCTCTACTTCTTTAACATCTTTTTCGGCAGGAGAAACGATATCTTTTAACGTTGCGTCTTTAATTGGAGTTGTCGGTTTTGATTTATCGTCTTTTGTCGTCAAGTCCTCGACTTTTTCTTTGATCGCAGGCTCAATTTCTTCCGCTTCATCCGTCGCAGTCTTTTCATCAATTAATTTAGAAGTAACTTCTGGCACAGCAGCTGCATCAATTGAGGGTCGTTTATCGGAGACATCTTTTTCTTCAACTTTTTCTTCTTTTAATTCAACTTTCTCAACTAAAGATTTCTCTTTCGGAGAAATGTCATCTGTTTTTTCTTTAGCCTCGTCCAAGTATTTTTCCGTAGTGTCAACGATTTCTGACATTTCGGATGTCTCTGTCGCTTCTTCAGGTTTCTTTTCGTCAGGTTTAATATCTTTTACCACATCGATACGAGGTTCTTCTTTTTCAACTTTTTCTTTAGTTTCCTGCACAAATTTTTCATCCGCCTCGATCACTTCACTTGTAGTATCTTCCGCAGTTTCTTCGATATCTTCCTTCTCTTTCATTTCATCTGCCTTCTCGGGAGATGCAATCGGTACATCGCGTACTTTATACTCTTGTTCGACAGCTTCGAAATCGTCAATCACATCTTTTTCATGCTCTTTTGCAGCTACAGATAAAACCTCTGTTTTAATCGGGGAAATCTTTTTCTCGTCTAAGCTCTTTCTATGTATGCTGACAAAACCATCGACCTCTTCCTCCTCCTCCTCGACATCCTCATCCAAGGATGATAGTTCTTCTTCGCTAACTTCGTGATCAGATACATCTTTTTTATCTTTCTCCAATTCAAGTGGAGTTTTTTTCTTTTCGTCAGGACTAAGCGCTTCAGCGATCGATTTCCTCTTCTCAGCTTCCGGTACTTCCGGTACTTCCGGTTCTGAAGTTGCTTCCTCTTTGATTATGCGCGATAATTCTTCCTCGGTCATTCCAAGTACCGCATGCCTCGGCATTTTTCTCTTAATGATAATTTCCTCGATAATCTCGATAATTATTCTTTTAGGCATCTTCTTTTTACCACAGATTTCTTCAAGTTTTTGTACATTAATACTATCCCCCTTGATAATATATTCCTTAACAATGTATTCTTCAACTTCCGCTCTTTCTTGCGGAGTTATCGACTCTTTCGCTTCCGGAATCTCCGTGCTAGGAACTTCAATGATTGATTTTCGTTTCTCGTCTAAAGCTTCTGTTTCCAATATTTTCTCTTCTTCTTCCTCGGAAACATCAAGTAATACGTTTCTAGGAATTTTTCTTTTAATAATAATCTCTTCGATAATTTCGGTGAGAATTTTTTTGGGCACGGCTTTCTTAGCAGAAATTTCATCGATTATCGATGAGGTAATCTTTTTCCCTTCGTGACGTATTCGTTAACGACGAATTCTTCAATCTCTGTTTGCTTCTGAGGTACAATCGATTCTTCTTCTTCGGTCGGAGCAGCAACCTCAGCAATCGATTCTCGTTTCGCAGTTATGTCTATTTTCGGTGTTATCTGCTCCTCTGCCGATTCTTCTGGCGATTCTTCCGACGATTTTTCTTCAATTATTTCCGACAGCACTTCCTCGGGAATGTCCAGCACCGTATGTCTGGCAATTTTTCTCTTAACAATAATTTCCTCAATAATTTCGATGACGATCTTCTTAGGCACGACCTTTTTAATCGAGATTTCCTCGATGACTTCTATGGTGATTCGCTTCTCTTTGACAATATACTCGTTAACAATGTAGTCTTCAATCTCCATTCTCCTTTCAGGCGTGATGGAATCTTTCAACTTTAGAATTTCAGGATCAACAACTACGCTCTCTCTGGGCAATCCCTTCTTCACGATAATCTCCTCGATAATGTAAATCACGCGTTCTCGCGGAATACGCTTCACCACGGTGATGTATTCGATGATTTCGATGGTAATCTTTTTCTTTTTCGTGATAATCAGTTCCTCAATTACTTCCTCGACTGGTGCTTCCTTGCTGAGAACCTGTTTAATATCCTCCGGCAGCTTGGAAAGTTCCTGAAAACCGGTTTCCAATTCACTATCATATATCTTGTCCGCGGTGAATTTCGGTGAGGTTGGCGTAGAACCGGGAGTCACCATCACTATTTCCGCTTTTGCCGGCGAAACCTTTTGCTCGAAGCCTATCACAGGATGCTCTATTTCTTCCTCCAGCTCACGCTCCAAGGACGGCCGTTTCGCTATTTCCTTCACGCATATGCCTTCGATACCAGCTTGCATCACGTCTACTCGACACGTATCATCGTCCGGTGATTTTTTATGTTGATCACAAATATGCTGATCGTCCTTCAACATTTCCGCGCAAATCTTGTGAGCGTCTTCCTTATCCTTTGCGGTGTCCTTCATAGGCGAAGTTACTAAATCATCCTTTGTTGTTGTCATTTTCACGCAAGGATCCTCCGTAATTTCGACAATACCGTGTTTCTCACACGGCGCCGGAAGTTTGTCAGGTTTCTCTTCAACTTCTTTGTGAACCGGAAGGACCTCAGTAGTACCAACCTTCGCCGGTGTCACAATATCTTCATGAGCAAGTTTAGATTCGTCTTCGTCCAATTTAGTATCTTTCTCCGGAGATATTTTTTCGCTCGGTATCGAGAGCTTTCTCTCCGTCGAAATTTCTTCTTTCTTAGAATCTTGATCAAACAATACTTTGTCGGAAAGAAAATCATCTTCCTTAAGAACTTCGGCGACTTTTTTCACAATTTCTATAACATCCTTCGGTTTATCTTCGAGAATAATTCCGGCAGTACCGGCGAGAACCTCTCCGACATCCCTGACAGCTTCCTTCATATCTCTATATGGTCCCTCTAGTTCCTCTTCATATTCCTCTTCAAAATCTTCGTCCTTTGGTATAGAGAACTTAACTTTTTCCGGTGCTTTTATATCGATCGTCTCGATGTGCGGTTTTATCTCCTCTAATTTTTCAGCTACCCCTTCCAAAGTATCCTTCACTGCGTCTTTCGAAGGAGATAATATGACATGTTCTATTTCTTCCTCCTTGACTTTTTCCTCCAACGATTCCAAGGAATCTCTTAAACTATCCTTTACAGTTTTAAATTTCTTAGAGGCTTCTTCCAGAAGAGCTTTTACCTCTTCAGCATCTTCTCCTATATCCTCTTCCTTCAGGAGTTCAATCTCTTTAGCAATCTCTTCATCTTTGATCGATTTCGATGGTACATCCTTTGCAAGTAACACTTCTTCGATTTCAGCTTCTGCTTTTTTAATCTCTTCTAACTTATCAGTCGGAAGCTTCTCTTCAATATCAGATACGCTTTTTTTGTACGTATCTAATATTTCCTCTTGTATAAACGCCGCGGTTTCTTTGATGGCAGCCACTTTCACGTCGACGGTCGTAGGTTCCGCTTCTTCAAACATCTCGGGTTTGTCAGGAGATTTGCCGACTTTAGGAAACATTTTCTCCACATCGATCTCTTCAAACGTCTTTTCTGGAACTTTCGCTTCTTTCGGAGAACTGGATTTTGAAGAGGACTTCTCGTCAGAATCCTTGTCGGACTCTTTCTTCGTCTTCTTAGTCAATTTATCAATGCCCTTTTCAAATTTATCCGCTACTTTGCCGAAAAAGCTAAAGACGCCTTTCTGCTCCTTCACCGGCGGCGTGGGCAGCTCTTTGATCTCTTGCGTAGTTGGCGACGGCTTCTCTTCTTTGCCCTTCTCAAAATCTTCCATTCTGTAAAGCTTAGGATCAACTTCCTCGTGAACTGGCAGATCGGCGACCTCATCGGGCGTCTTAACAATGTCCCTTTGCAGATTTTGCATCGCTTGACGAACGTCGAAGACTTTAACTTCCGGTTTGGCAGTCACAGGAACAGTTTCCGGAATTACCTCTTCCTTCTGCTTCGCAGGTGCATCTTTCTCTTTCACTTCTTCGATAACGTGTTTCTCGTCGATGTCCTCTTTTATTTCATCCAACGGTATTCGCTCGTCTTCGGGCAAAGTTGGAGCGGTTGTAGTGGCTCCCGATTCTATCGTCGAGATTCGTTCTTGAGATTCTTCCATCTTCTCAAGAATATGCTCCTTTTGATCGACATCCGGTTTTATGTCTGTATCAGTCGTCTTCTTTTCTGACGAATCCAATTTTTCCGGACTGAGACTGGAAGGTTCCTTTGTAATGTCCTCGCTGTCCTTTTTAGCGGAGTCGTCCTTTTCTTCGGTTTTCTGCACGATTTCAGCAGCTGAAGCTATTATTTCTTTCACTTCTTTCTGCAATTGTTCCTTGTATTCCGAAGACAGCCCAGCGATCTCTTTCTTGTCCTTGTTCGCGATTTCATCACTTCTTTTCTCTGGGCTCTCGTCCTTTCCTTTCTCTTCGGGTTCTTCCTTCTCACCTTTTTCTCTTATCGCTTCCGCGTCTTGTTGGATTTTCGCTTTTTCCGACTCGGCTTCATCAAGGACATGCTTCTGTTCGCCCTCGCCGCTTTGAACCGAATCCTCGGTGTAAACTTCTTCCTTTTCTACGATGAGGTACTCGTCTTCTTCGGTCAATTCCTGACTCACTTTCCTAGAACCTTCCTTTTTAGGTATGTCTTCGATCTCAGCGGTAACATCCTCTTCCGTGATATCTTCCTCTTTCTTATCCGTAGCCTCGGCTGTGATTTCATCGTCTCCCTCAAAACGATCTTCTTTCCGAGTCTCTTCAATCCTCTCCGCTTTCTGTAGAACGGCTTCAATTTCCTCGACGACCTCTCGCTCTTCCTTGAGATCAGCCAATACTTTACTTTCTATAGAATCGAGCGACATATCTTCAGACTGCTCTATTAAACTCTTATCAATTGGCTTTACGGCTTCCGGTTCTATGCCAGACGGAGTGGACACCGTGGACGAATCGGTGGTGCCTCTGTCACCCTTCACCTTGCGAATAACGCCGTCTTTGTCAGACTTTACGGAAGTGGTCGGCGTGCTACGAGTGGATTTCGCCGGACTGCCTGGCAGACGAGCTTTACTGGGACTGACCGGTTTCGTGCGACGACTGATCGGTTTTCTGTCCGTTGGTTTAGGCTTCGCAGACGCTTTAACAGCCGGAGCCGGCGTCTCCTTCACGGCGGACTTCTCGACTTCAGATTTCTTTTGTTCCACTACTTTCCTGTTATTAGCCTCCTTGGCACTCTTGGCCGGAAGACTGGGAGTGACCTTGGGCGCTGGTTTTGTCTTTGGCGCGGCTTTCGATATCTCCGTCCTTGTAGCGGTGCCGTTCAAGGTTTTCTTCGGCGTTGTGGGGGAAGACTTTACAGCATCTTTCTTTTCCGCGCCGGGAAGTCTAGCTTTCTTCTCGCTCAGCTTCGGCTTCGGGGTTACTTCACTCTTTTTGAGTTCGGCCTTTAACATCGTCTTGCCCTCCTTTGCTTCTTTCTTCTTTGGCTCGGACTTGATCTTAGGTTCCTTAGGTTCCTTAATTTCCTTGGAGGCAGTCTTATCGGTCTCCGGTTTAATTATGTCAGCCTTTTTTATTTCGTCTTCTCGCTTCTCTACTTTAATCAGTTCCTTCTTAGATTCTTTTTTCACTTCTTTCAATTCTTTCTCGATCTTCTTGCTCTCCTTAGCCTCGGTCTCAATCTTTTTATTTTCGGCAACTTTCTTCGTCTTCATTTCGGTCTTGGGTTTACTCGTGGGAATAATCGGTGTCGATTGGGGGGTTGTTTTCGAAATTGCCTCGTCCGCAGCCTTAATAGACTTGGGCTCCGATGGTTCTCTTCTCTCTTTCTTCGGCTCTGAGATTTTCTTCGATTCTCTGTCGATAAGGCCGAATTTCTTGATCGGTTTGTCTCTGAGCGTCGCCAGAGACGTTGACGGCGACAGTGTTTTTGCTGAACATACAGGGTGCTTTAGGAAATCCAGATGCTTAAGTCGTTCGAAACCTTCGAAAATCTTGTGTTGCGGCGTGCTGCCGGGGAAGAGAATTCGCGTGATATTATCCTCGGGATTGGCCGGCTGCCAAACCAGAAGCGCGCATATCGACACGAGGTTCTGAATCGGGAATGTGAGATTATTCGAGTCCTTCTTGTGAGAGCCGGCAAACAGCTTCGAATCCGACGAATGCCACTTGGACAGAAACTCGCGCACTTCGCGACTGTCTTTGCTCGGACTAAGCACGTACATGTCCAGGGTGCCGTGACCTACTTTGTGATAGAGATTAATCGGCTCGGAATCTCTGTAGCAAGGATGAGCACGGAGATTGATATGCCGAAGATTCAGCACCATCTCCTGACCGATATCGGTGAGATTGAGAATGAGGGGATCGATATCCTTATCGCCGTCAGGTGAATTTGATTGTCTTCTTTCCTGTATTGTGTATAATTCTTACATGTATCTATGTTTGTGTCATAGCAGCAAATATTAAGAAGTTAAGAAAGTGTACAGCGGAACGTTAATAGTTATTGGACAAATTATTTTATTATTTTAATTATGTTTTAATTATTCGAAATATTGATACATATAGAAATTCTTAAATAAATATTGAGAGTGGATGATTACTTACGACTAAGTTACAGAAGAAATGGCCGATTTGAGGGTAAACTTGCAATTCCTTTTTTTTGCGAAGGACGCTAAACATGCCGCCGATGTTGCTATTATTTATCCTAGTGACTAGAACTGCATCCAATCGGTCTAGATGCCTGGTGAAGTCCCAGAAGCAGGCTTTCCTAGCGAAGCCGCCGTCGACGAGCATGTTGAAGCCGTTTATACCGAAAAGCGCGGCGTCACCTTGCCCACCGGGAAGACGTATAAAGTCGGATGACTAAATCTAATATTTCCGACAACGTCCGACGGTTCCATCAGCTGGTCCAGCGTTTGTGACACGAGATACTGTCCGATGTAATTCGTGAAACTAGTGATAGCCGGCATGCCAGCCGTAAGAACATCGTCGGGATTCACTCTGACTCTGCAAAATCTGCAAGAGGAACAACATAAAATATCAGGGATAAAAAAAGAGAAAGAAAAAGAGGGAAGAGAAACTTTCTCTCTCTATCTTATACACACAAAATTTATTTATATCTAAAATAATTTTTTGCTAAATTTCGTAAAACGTTATACTTTTTTATACTATAAATTAAAATTATTTCCTAATAAAAGATAGTTGATACATACCTGCAACAAGCCTCCTTCGATAATCGACTTGTCGTCCAATCGCCAACACCCGCACAATGTATATCTACGGTAACGCTATTCTCGTAGGCACGAAGAACTCTCTGCACCTCATGTTCACTGAATGCATCCAGAAAGTCTGCGAGACTGAAGGTTCCATCCTGAATAATAATTATTGAACATGTTTTTAATCCAAGATTACTTTCGGCTGATATTTCGATTAATATTGGAATGCGAATTTTTTTTGGATCAATGATTACGTATATCTTTTCTCGGCGTATATACCTGCAGTATCCAGGAACCATTACCGCCGAATGTGTATCCAGCGTGAATGATGTGCCGATGTTTCGTGAAACTTGCGAGGAGATTGCGAATACACTGTAACAATGTATTCGTCTGCGGGTGAATGAGAACTTCCGTCACGAGGTTCTCGGTAGCATATTGAATCAATCTTTCACCTAGAAAATCCCATTCGATTACTAACAGATTATATTAAATACAAGATATGCTAAAAAATACGGAATATTTTTTTATGTATTTTATATGTATATATAATATCTTATTTTAAAAAATTAAATTAATATATTTTCGTAATTACCATTTCTGGCTTCTTCGCCTTCGGGGGCTTGTGCTACTAAGGCCAATAGTTCCTTCTCCAGATCTACATGACAACTATCTTTGTCCCATGATAGAAAACCTGTAACAATCGAGAGAAACGATGATCGTTAAGTATAGACAAAGTTTAGAAATGAAATCCTCTTTGCACATGTTAAGCAGATCGTCGCAGTATCGGAAAACTTTTGGAATAAAATCTGCATATAAATCACTGGTCTTCAAGATCAAATGTAACTTTAAATATTCCAACGACATGCTCTTTCTTTTGAACTTGGCCAAGCTTTTCTGAGACTGGCCCTGATATTTTGAATAAAAAGTAGGTTGTTCTCGTTTTAGATTATCGTTGTATATATTTTCGCATAAACTAGAAATTGCTTAGAATTGTCCTAAACGGTTATTTATATCTCGAGAAAATCTTTGATAATTATTAATTATTAGTGTATAGAAGTAGAATATATAATTTAGAAATGATGTTTGCTATTTCAAAGATTAGTATTTTAGATCTATATACGAAAAAATTAATCTTATTAAACTAAAAAATTTTTCATATACTACCTTTTTTTCAAATCTTTGATAAAGTATTTCAAATTTTTACTTAAACATTTATTAATTATAATGTTACATTTTAAATTTGCATATAAAATAGTGCGTCACGATAAATCTCAACCCACTTATTGTCAAAGTGTAAGACATTTACAAGTGAGTGGAACAGTAGGCTAACTATATATAAATGTGCAAGACTGCAGTGGTTTGGCTTCAATAGAGCAAGGGTAATTCACCGGGTGATGTAAGGTTAAGGTTAAGATAGTAGAAGCTGACAAGTTGTTATTTGATTGATGAGAAAAGTAAATTAAGTATCGTATTACATGAACATAGTTTTTCGAACGCATTGTTTTTTTTTTCGCATTTTATCAAGCAAAAAGCATATTTGATACAGATTGAGAAATAGATACAAAAATTAATTCGTAACTATTTATAATATCTTTTTGTCAATTAACTTATTATGTACTTATAATTCATTATAATTATGGATTAAAATTCATCTTACTAAAAGACCGTTGTCTTTATAGAAAATTATTTTAAACTAAGAAGAAAAAGGATAAATATTATAAAAAAATTATTAATGCAATAATGTAGTGTGTTAATTGATAATATTAAAGTGTCAATAACATCTTTCGCTTGTAAATTTTCAAATTTGTATGTTCTATATAAACATAAAAAATTAATTATGTATATGAGTAATAGAAAAATGAAAAAAAAACGAGAAAGAATACATTTCTATCAAGTTGATAATGCGATAATTAGAATAAATGTTTCAGCGATCGCATTTAGCCACACGAGGGTGAATTGTACGGGGCGGTCGTTTCGTGACGTCACCGACACCGCACCCGTCACGTGGTTCCATGCCAGCTGGCAATCGATCGCCGCACATCCTGTACCCACCCTCCATTGCCAACTTTAATGCGGGGATACTCTACTTTTGACATCGTGCAAAAAATTTCCGATGCTCTCAATATATTATCCGGGATACATTTCACGGAAAACCTATAAAAAAGAACTATAGGAAAACTATAGAAAAAACTATAGTTTAAAAAAAATTAAATTAAAATACACGATATATTAAATGTAAAATATTATTTTTATTAATACTAATAAATAATTATATGCGTTAAATAAAAGAAATATATATTTCAAATATATTAACAGATACAAAATATTTCTTTTAATTTTGTGCGATAAGTTTTGAAATTTGTTATCTTATCGCCCAATATTTCGCGATCTAATCAAAGTGCAAAGCTATTCTTCGAGAGCTTTTCACAGGCGGAAGTGTTGAAAAATTTTCGCCCAGCGTTTTGTGTTCGAATTAAAGAATTGATGATGCAGCACAATGGAACGTAACTCGTTGCTAAGGGAGTTCGAACTGGCTCTCGCGTAATTCTATACTGGTGTGTATACAGACAAGTCTGGTTCGAGACGTTGCCAGGCAACATCGTAGTATCAATCAATGCCAGATAAAGAGGAGTCGAAGAAAATTAACAAAAAAGTAAGAAAGCAAAGGAGCAAGAAGCATTAGTTTGTGCAACGGATTCCGCACAGCTACTTTTTCGTTGCCTCCAATTTTATCCTAAAATAAGTAAATACGTGTTGCATAGTTTCCAGTAAACGCGCATGCTATTATTAACCACTTGAATGATGAAACATATTCGCATTCTCGTGAAATTATACTTAAAATTGCAAATTATGAGAATGCAGACGAGCGCTGCTTAAATTAACCGGACTCGTTACTTAATTGAAGTTACATTCCATTAATTTTTCTACACATTTTCTGCAGTTACGGCTGTTTAAGCAAATTTCGAGTAATTAAATTTTTCAATTACATAAGCAGTAGAGATTAATATTGAGCGAAAAATTTGAGAAAATTGAAAAGTAATCTATATGCATAATACATAGTATAAATAATTGCACACATATAAATGCAATAAATAAAAAAAACCGAGTTCGCTCTTTTATAATCAAACAGCAAAAAGTTACATCGTCGTTGCTGAATATATTGAGTGTACTTGATGTGTTAAACTGATTGGAAGCCCCAAGGCTGATACGAGAGAAGCCGTTCTTCGTGGATCGCGTTACTTAATGCTCACCGATTCCCACCGGTTTCGGTCGCAATAAGTGTCACAGTGATCGCGACAGATCCGAAAATTTGCATAGAGCGAGTTTTCTCGAGCGGAATGCTGCATCCGCTCTGACTTTTCCGATAGAAGTCTCTTGACAGGAATTAAAGACTATATATAATTTTTCGAAAAATTCTCAAACTCAATTCTCAATGTTATAAACGTCAAAATGCCATACACAATATTATATGCAAAAAATAATTTACGTGATTAATTTAAAAATGCACTTGCATTTTTGTAATCCCAGAAATCAAACTTGTAGGAAATTCTGACAGTCTTATTACAATCTTCGGCAATTTGCGCGGACTTGCATTAACTCGCGGAGCACAGTTACGTGAATTTATCGATTAATTAATGTCGACGGATTAATGACGTAAAAATTTAAGTCATATTTCACATTTCACTTGCAATTACTTTCGCAGCATCCGCTCGTTCCAGATAAGTAATGATCTTGCGTGAGGCCGATAGATATCTTTTTCTCTCCGTTTATTACCGAAGTAGCTACTAATTGTAACCAATGAATTCTATGACGCATTATCGCATTGCCTGCTGATTCACTGTTTAACTTGAATACTCAAAATGGCATAGCGTTTGCCTCTCCTCAATGTTTGCGATATGTACTGCTTAACCAATTAAGGAAGCCAAATGCTATTAATTAAACACGCGCCTTTTATAAAAGGATCGATAAGTGTGCGTGTAATAATCGATAGCTCGATAATTCGTTAAGTGCGGATTCGAGGAAAAAATAGAACTTATCAACAGCGAAGAAAGAGAACGGAATATTGAATCTGTCAATCTATGGGTATTCTCGAGAAATTTTTCATCATTCTTTTTCCCCAGTTTTCCAGTCCAGATCTCTGGCTTTATTGAATATTCGTTTCTGTAGATCGGTAATTTCATCAGCGGAACAATGCTGAGAATAAATACGGGGTTTGCAGTGAAAGATGAAGTACCTCTTAATTAAAACCAGATTGCTTCAATTATATTGACTACGTGAATTCACGAATCAACATTGCGCATTTCTGTGTGCTGAGATGAATCATTGACGTAAGCAAAAATGAAACTCTATCGAGTGAATAGATATGAATTTTTCGACAAATGGGGCAAGAAACAGTCGTGGCGTTGAAAGGACGTTTATAGGTGAAATAATACCTGTTTATATCTACGTTATAAATGGATAATACGTCATTGATTTATCTTGCATATATTAAAGGGCACATTTGTTGCATCAGAAATACCGCTTTTAATCACAAGAGCCATATCGCTCGGATCAGCTATGAATATGAAAATACGTGCGAGCACACGCATACATAATACATATACACAGAACGTGCTATATTTTCAGGTTGCAGACGTCAATGTATCCAGTGTCCCGCGGTTTCCGGCTTTAAGATGCGACGTTCTGACGTGTCGCTTCTATCTCGAATACAATAAGAATGTATCTAAATAGGCGATCGTCACGCGAAAAGCGTAGGAGGTTTTCACGATTGTCCATAGTAACGCAGTGTATCGGCGCGTCTCGTGATATATTGTATTTAAAAAAAGGGGGGAAAAATTCAAGGCCAGTTTTATCTCAACAAGGTCTCCTTCGTGACGCATATTACACAGACAATTTGATTTTATTACCTGTAAAATTTCTGCACCGAGCAATGTTCCTTTTTTCCTCACATTTATCACGCATCATAAAAATAAATATATTCAAAATGTGAAGGACGAAAATAAAAAAATCATTGTTCGAAAAATATCTACTAATATTAATTCTTGTCCTTATAATCTCTCACAGACACATACAAGAGATATTTGACACTGCGCGATGTCCCTATGGATTAGTAGCTTAAGCTAAGTATAGACAAAACTGCATGTTTCTTCGCGGCAGCTTCGTACATCTCTTAGCGCGCTCGTATTTCTCGATTTGCATTTGACTTCTTTTTTTTTCTTAGTCGTTGGATGCCGAGAATGTTGGGTTTGTCCCAACTATGTTTAGAAATGGTTTCTCGTTGTCCTGCCTGCAACGCGTCTACGATGCGTGTAGTAAGTACACGTGCGTAAAGTACCGCTTTAGCAGCACCGGAAAAAGATCATTATGTATATAATTATATACATATGTGTATATATATATATATATATAAATTTTTTTAAATTATTTTACAAAAATTAAAAATAAAAAACTGTATATTTTACGCTTTCAATATCACGTGAGAAAAATATTTCTCTATGCAATTTAGCAATTACCTTTGGAATTTTCTGCAACTGTATAATAATCGCAATAGAACATCCATTGTAAGTATGAACGTGCCAGTGTTCTAATATCTCTTGAAAATACCACGAATATTGGCTAACTGAAATATAAGCAAACGTAAAGCCTTTGTAACGTATAAGAGGGTCAAAAAGTTTCTAGGAAAATTGCTGA